TTCACTAAACATAAAGACCGAACAACGACATTCGACACAACCAACGCGGTCTACATGATACCATGTAAAGATTGCCCCAACAGTACATAGGACAAACGTCCAAGAAAAATTGAAACAAGACTCACTGAACACAAGAATGCCATCAAACGACGCGACCCAAAATCACTACCAGCAGAACATACCTACGATACCAACCACACATTTGACTGGACAAAACACAACTTCTGGACGCGCACAGACAAAACACGCACGAGAATTCAAAGAGGCATGGTACAGCAAAGACAACAACACAATTAACAGACATATTGACATCCCCATCATCTATTCACAACTAAAGACAAAACCAAAACAACAAACTAATAACACAACGACTAAAATAAAACACTCGAATTTCATTAACGTAATCGATACACCCGAAACCATGACAACGCATCTTATACCATCCAATAATATCAACTCAACTACTAACCAACCAATCAGACGCTCCAAACGCCTACAAAATCTTTGTAAATAATATATTGTCACATTCTGACGAAGGCTCGAAGCACCGAGTTGAAAGCTTAATAAAAATTTAAAACAAATCCAGAGAATCCTTATCATTATCATATATAAATATATATATATATGTAATGGTTATATATATATATATATATAACCGTACGTCCTGTGTCCCAGTAGAGTCACCATTTTACTATGGTGATAGCCGGGAGGGCACATTGTTGTACACTTTGTATATATATATATAGTAATATAAAATACGTTATTACCAAGATTGTTAGAAGTCTTAGCAGTCAACAACATTGAATTCAATCATATGTTCTTCTGTGAAACATTGATCACATCAGCTCTTGTACTGCTAAATATTTTTCTACTTTCATATATGAAGAACTCAAATGATTCCTTTAAGGTAAAATCCTGTTGTATGTGTGCACTATTTAAACCATAAAGAGTGTTGTTGAAGATTGTGGTTAATATACTTCTGCTGGTTAAGCAATTGATTAGCTGTGAGATTATAAAGTAAATGGTTTGAACCAGGGAGAATCGTTACATGTTTGTAAATATAGATAGTCCAGGTTGGTATAGTCCTGAGAAGGACTGTTTTTGTTGTTGTTGATCACGTTTCGACCTTGGGTAGTCATCTTCAGAGTCAAATGAGGAGTACGTCAGGTTAGCCGTATTTGTTATCTGGTTCCCCACAGGAAATGTAAGTATTGTCATTGCAGTGTGGAAGTGTAATGAGTTGATCGTTTGTTTGTATTGTGAATACGTCGTTTGTAAGGTGCCGGTAATTGCTGTGATCTGTTCAGGGCGGTTTGTTCCAAGTTGGTATACCAACTTTCTAATGTAAGCCGTTGTCTATACTCAGTACTGTAAGTAATGCATTTTGCCGAGTCCCAGTTAATGTTGTGCTTTGTGATTCGGTGATGTTCGGCGATGTGATTAGTTTTGTCTTGTTTCTTAGTAGCTCGTTTGTGTTCAGTAAGTCTTATGTTTAAGTTCCTGCCAGTTTCCCCAATATAGGAGGCGTGGCAGTCGAAGCAGTTTATTTTGTAAACTGCACCTTGTCGTTCGTTGGGTTGTTCTTTGTCCTTTATGTTCGTTAGTACTTGTCGTAACGTTGTAATTGGTTTATGTGCGACACGTATGTTGTATGGTGGTAAGATACGCGAGACAGTCTCAGACGTACCTTTGATGTAAGGTATCGTTGCTGTTGTCACTGAGTTGTTCGTTTCGCTGGGTTCGTTGGGTTTGTAAGTGTTGCGTTTGATAAAATCAGAGTTATAGTTGTTTTTGTCAAAAACACGTTTGAGATAGTTGTTTTCGTTGTGTAGAGCTTCCGGTGAATCACATATGATCTGTCCACGTCTTGTTAATGTTATGATTGTGGTGGCTTTGTGTGATGTAGGGTTGTAAGATGATTGGTCTAGTAGTCGGTCAGTATGTGTTGGCTTGCGATAAACTGTTGTTCGTAGTTTTTGATTGTCATGTTTTACCAAACAGTCGAGAAAAGGAAGAGTTCCGTTTTCTTTGACATCTTTGGTAAATTGTATGTGGCTGTTCTGTGTGTTGATGTGAGTGTGAGTGTCAGTGAGTTTGTTGATGTGAGTGTGAGTGTGCTAACCTGACGTTTACTCCTCATTTGACTCTGAAGATGACTACCGCTAAGGTTGTCGAAACTTCAGTCAACAACAACAAAAACAGTCCTTCTCAGGACTATACCAACCTGTGATATTATGTCAAATTTTTAGATTTAGATAGCCAATGTTATTGAGAGAAGCTTATTTGAAGACATAAATGTATTTTTGAAGGTCTTGCAGCACCGGTCGGCATAATGAATCTTCACTTGGAAAGAATCTACGAAAATTTGACAAAACTTATTGATAATTGACTGGATAAAACTCTTTGAAAATTATGGGTATACGACATCATGGTTGGATAACTTTTTCTGTTGCGATTTTGGTAAGTTAATTACAAATATTAGAAGAAAGTCGAAATATCTACGTGGTATGGTAGTCCATTGTTACCATAGCAATTTTTATGACATATTTTTATAATGGCAAAAAAAATTATAATTTTGAATATAAATAAAAAACATAAAAAAGTTTAAACATAAATTTTTTAGCAATATTAAAAACATGTCTTAAAAATGCTTTGGTAACAATGGGATGGGCCACCATAGTTGACTCCATTTTTTGGTGTAGGTAATCCTGATTTTTTCATATATAGTATATATATTAATATAAAATATGTTATTACCAAGATTGTTAGAAGTCTGAGCGATCAACAACATTGAATTCAATCATATGTTCTTCTGTGAAACATTGATCACATCAGCTCTTGTACTGCTAAATATTTTTCTACCTTCATATATGAAGAACTCAAATGGTTCCTTTAAGGTAAAATCCTGTTGTATGTGTGCACTATTTAAACCTTAAAGAATGTTGTTGAAGATTGTGGTTAATATATTTCTGCTGGTTAAGCAAATGATAAGCTGTGAGATTATGTCAAATTTTTAGATTTAGACAGCCAATGTTACAGAGAGAAGCTTATTTGAAGACAACATTAATCACACATTTTATGGTTAGTATTGAACTATGATCTTTTATAATTACTTGACATAGAAATGAAACCAAGATGATTTTGTAGTGGACCTGTGCTCTAGTTTAGATAAGATATTGGTGGCAACTTGGTAGAGGTTGCCCTGCCACATCAGACTATTTATCTTAAACTTTGTAAGGAGGGGGGAGGTGTGGAAAGTGCATTTACTGTTATTTTGAGTGTAAATTATTGACAGCTTGTTGAACGCATGATGGTGGAAGTAGACAAGAATCAAAATCAAAATATAAGTTTATTTCACAGAATAGATTTACAGAAGCTCCATTTGCATGCACATGGTCAACGTAATTAATTATCAACTTGATACATAAATGATACTACTAGAACGGTCAAATGAAAATATCCTGTGACAAAATTCACCATTCAGTATAAATTAATGTTTATCCCAATGCAGCTAGTCAGCCGTACCAAGTTAGTGAGAAAACTCAAATTTTAAACTAGATGACTAATAAAATGACAAAAAAGATTTTGCGCATTAAGTTTTTTAAGAATTGCATCATGTTACAAGCACTAGGCTGGTCAAAATCACCTTCTTGCACAGTTGAACATAATGCTTTGAGGTAAAATATACTTTACTAGAAGTTACCACACATTGAGGTAAAATATACTTTACTTGACGTTACCACACATTGAGGTAAAATATACTTTACTAGAAGTTACCATAAACTGAGGTAAAATATACTTTACTAGAAGTAACCACACATTGAGGTAAAATATACTTTACTAGAAGTTACCACACATTGAGGTAAAATATACTTTACTAGAAGTTACCACACATTGAGGTAAAATATACTTTACTAGAAGTTACCACACATTGAGGTAAAATATACTTTACTAGAAGTTACCACACATTGAGGTAAAATATACTTTACTAGAAGTTACCACAAATTGAGGTAAAATATACATTACTAGAAGTAACAAAAATGACCATTAGCTGCTAATATTTAAACAATTTTAAATATTGTTGATATAGATGTAAGGGCACATTTGATTGTTTTCGCATTTCACCTTTGCAACAATATTATCTTTCTTCTGTTTTACTTCAATAGACTTACCATTGTTTTCTTTATCAATTTTCTTGAAAAGAGGGGTACATATAAGTGACAGGTGCACAGGAAAATTTCCCTGTGACGTTATAGGTCAGTCCCCCCCTGTTTACATTAAAAATGTTCAATTATCATACCATTAATTTTTTGGGAAATTTGTATTTCTATATTAACGTGCGACTTACGTGTAAAGTTTGTAGTGCATTATTTTATCATTAATACGTAGCTATAACAATTTTTTATTTTTAAAAACATTGAAACATTTGTTTGAAAATTTACATGCTAGTGTCAGAGACACAAATGTTGTTAATGATTACATGAGCTTTATTTTTACTACATTAACAACATATAATCGATTACATTCATTTCATGTAATCAACTACATTGAATAAATTGGCTGCATTAACTGTGGGTAATTGATTACATAAATTGACAAAATTTGACTGCATTTATTGAAATGTCGTTCATGCCATCTCTTATAAAATTACAACTCTTTTAAATATCGTTCTTGTTGTCTCTTATTAAATTACAACTTTTGGAAATGTCTACCTTTATGTCTACCTTTATGTCTACGTTTATGTCTACCTGCTGTTGTATTTGTTTCTGAGGTTGCAGTACATGAAGTTGCAATTACTACTGCTGTCCTAGTGTAAAATGCTGATTTTTTTATAGGTAAAGTTTCAAAACTGTACAGTGTCATTTTTTGTACAATTTATTTTAGAAAAAACCTTTCTCTGTCTTTCACATATGCACTCAACCTTAGAGCAAACAGAATTTAAGTACAAAAAGACACAAAATCTATTTCTTCTGTTGTATAATGACTCGATAACGTCAACATTTAAACTCTGAAAGTGTATTTATACATTTAAGTATAATATTTACAACTTTTTCAATATAGTAAATGTCAACTTTTAATGAAATTGTCTGTGAATTAATTTATAATCAAGGCGACAATAAATTCCTTTTAATACAACGAACGATGATTCACATTCTATAAAACGAATAATATTACTAAAAGTATAAAATGAACTTAAGGCCTGTTTCAAAGGTCGAACTTTACATAAACCAAACGCCTTAAAGACGAAAGAAAATGAGATGAACTTCCTCATAATTTTTTGTTTTAAATACGTTCGGCTCATGTAAAGTTGGACGTTTGAACTAGACCTTAGACTGTCTTAACTACTTTAGAGCATATTACAAAATCACGAGTTATTTATGTTGTGGATTTTAAATTAGTTACGAGGAAATAATCCAGATAAATATTCGACAATTTCATTTATGAGAGTTAATGTTGAAATGACACGAAATAAATATCGTAATAAATATCAAAATATAAAAAGTCTAAATTAGAAGATTTTTACACTTTGTTCATATTATTGAAATATATTAATTTTAAAAAGCATCTTTATTCAATTGTACAAACTTTAGATCTAAACAGAAAATGTGAGAAGAAAAATTTTGTTTAGTTATATTATAGTTTACTTTATAATTTAACTTTGTATTAAAAATTTTAGTTTAATCCTAAAAAATTTAGATTATTTCTGTGATAACTTGGAATCATATAGTGCCTAAAATAAAAGATAATTAATGCACTTACTGGTTTGAATTTTGCTTTTCTGCCATTTTCTGGATTTTTAAGCTGTAAAAACACATTTTGAATCATTTTAGAAACAATCCGAGTTTAAAAATAGTAAATTATTAACACAGAAAGACGCAGATCTTTCAAAGAAAAAAGGAAGATAGAAAACATTTTGTCATTAACTGATTGATACATTGATATGTATAATATATGGATAGTATTCATTGTTAAAAATTTAACGCGAAGTTGTGCAGAGTGTATTCCTCACATTTCTTTAAATATATATTGACGATGCGATCATTTTCTGCTTTCATGCGCTTTATATGTTTCCTATCGCTTTTGTTGATCTTGACATTAAAAACATGAAGTGATACTTCTAGTGAAAAATCAGATCTGATTCGTGTTCATACATAGCTACTGAAAGTGGGATGTATAAGTTTACAAGCCGAGAAAACATAACTTAAGGGTTCAAATTCTCTATCGGTCTTCCTGTAATTGATAAAAATTTTGCTTGAATCAATGCTTTGTAAAAGGAATAAAACGCGAAAACTGTGATTTTCTACTACAAAGTATAGTAAAGTGAGTCCTACAGCCCCCCACGAAGGTCATAGGCAAATGTCACACTTCCGGCTTCAATTTTCCTATATTTTATACATGATGCGCTATCCATATATTATACATATCAAAGGATTTATACCTTACTTGTTGACGAAGCACTGATTGGCTAAAAAATTAAGAAAGACAACCAATTGCAAAGTATTTTATAACAGCCAATACGCAGCGGTGAACATTTAACGAAATACGAAGGAGGGGAGAGAATGAGAAAACATGTGACTCAGTTATATGGAAAGGAAAAAATGTGCTTTTGAGTTTCTGTATCCAGAATATATATTTATCTATAGTTTAACTCATGTACTTCAAATGTTTTATAGATAAACTAAAACGTCCATTTCAATATAAGACAGTTTCATTGTTGCATACAGTACATATAACATTTTAATCAGTTTAAAAATCCACTATTCAGTGTAACGTAATTATGGTTTCGTGCTTTAAACCATTGAACTAAAATACATCTGGAGCGCTACCTGTAATAGAAGTCTAATAAATTCTTGAAGCTAAATTTTACACCCAGACACGTGTGTGTAGTGAATCAATTTTCAGAATCTCCAAACACTAGACACGCGTGTCTGGGTGTAAACTCGCGTGTCTGGGTGTAAGATTTGGCTTCAATTATTTGCTTCAATAACAAGGACAAGCAGACAATTTCAAATAATACAAAATAAAACAAATTCCGAAGAGGGACATCTCGTTTTCTTGATATTCAAGAAAAGCACATTATTTTGTAGCACATTATTTTGTTTCAAACTCTTGTAATATCTTGAATATCAAGAAAACGAGATGTCCCTCTTCGGAATTTGTTTTATTTTGTATTATTTGTTTCAGGTAACGTTCCATGTATTCTAAATCAATGCAACAAACACAACCCTGTGAAAACTATATATTTATACACAACTTAACTTTATATACTCACTCTATTTGTTGGTGCTACAAATGCATCTATGACCAACCATTTTTGCGTCAAGATTTCAACATCTTTATCTGTCAGAGGTTCACGAATACGTAATTTGACTTCAATCTTTCCACCAATTGCCTTGCGACCTTTCTCGGGATCCATAAGCTGCAATTGTAATTAAGTCCATTTACGACAGCAATCGTTCTTACGTACGTAAATTTTGAATCGAGATAACATGTATTTTAAGTGACATTACGTATGATGTGTTTATCAAATAATGGAGGTTTAACTAAAAACTAGTTCTAGTCCTTTTTCTGCCTTTACAGATCACGTGGCAGACATTAAGAAGATGGTGAAATCTGAAATGCTACATTGGGTAAACATGGCTATATTTGTACAAAGCTTATACTATACGCGTATAGTTCGGCATTTCAGCTTAACGAAATGTTGTCTTCAAATTTTAGCGTGTGTGTGGCCGTCCAGTTATATATAGTTCAATGGTTTAAACACAGCTTCTGCAATTATTAATTCATAAAGTTCAAAAAAATACCACACATTACTTACATTAAGACATTCGTGAATTTCACATCTATTATCAAACGGTGATAACTTAAGAGAAGCTTGACCCAGCGTCTTGTCACCTTTCAGAAATCCTCTAAAAGGTTTGAACATTTACTGACGATAAAAAATATTTCACATAATGTAAAACAATGAAACATCCATCTCACGTACGACAAACCTGTTGTATTTTATTTCAAATTTCACACTTTGTCGTCGAAATATTCTCGCCAACGATCGGTTTTTTCTGTCGATAGATATCTTAAACTTTTGATCAAATTCTATACGAAAAAACAGCGTAATTAATCATCGATGTAGAATAATGAATTTAATGAGGGGGGAAGGTTCTAGCATATCAAAATAGCTTACATCCACAACATTGGATATTATTTACGTCTCGAGAACTGAAGTATAAGGACCATTCTGTCTCTTGGAAAAATACTCCTCCCCAGTCCCCATTGCATATCCAATAACCACAACATAGGATATTAATGACGTCATGAGTACTTAAGTAACACGGCCATTCTGTCCATAGCATTGAACAAAAATACATGGAACGCTACCTGTAATACAAAACCTTAATAATTTTTGAAGCCGTGATTTTACCCCAGACACGCGAGACTTTACCCAAGACACGCGTATTATTATCATTCCGCGAGAGAATCTCGAAACACTAAACACGCGTGTCTGGGGTAAAATCTCGCGTGTCTGGCGTAAGATATGTATTCCACGTATTTTAGTTCAATGGTTCATAGTAAAGAAACTCCTCCCCAGTCTCCACTCACCCCTCAACACAAGATCATGCAGGGTCCAATGCTGTATGATATCATTCATTTCGAATAAAACTTACCAGGATTAATGTTGTGTTTGATGGTTTCCGTGAAGCCAGTTTGAGGTTGATCCTAAAGTTGAGTAATTTTAAAATTTAGTGCAAACAAATAATATTGATTTAAGAAAAAGTGAGAAAGTGAACAATCAAATCAATTAAAACAATTAATCAGTCAAAGAGAATTTGCAAATCTATCATGAATACATTTTAGAAAAAAAAATTAAAATGTTTGTCTTTTTAGCATTATTATTTTATAAAAGGAATAAAAAATGCTTTTCGTGTTTGCACAGGCTTATGCAAACCTCGGAGACGTTTGTGAGAACTCTCGAGCTTGTGCAACCCTCAACCTTCGGTCTCAGGCTTGCACTGATCTGCTCTAAAAGGTCTACTTGGTTTGCATAAACCTGTGCAAACACAGTAAATATCTTTTATTTCTTAAATGAAACATAAACCAACTTACGTTAGGAAAGGGAAATTCATAGGACACATACACTTTCATATCGTCTTTGTTGTAACCTTGAAGTATATTGAAATTTTTTAAAGATTGATTTTTAACGTTTATAGATGTATGTATCAGATCAAATATCCATTGTTTGACCTGACACTTATTAATCCTTTAGACACCTTATTAATCCTCTAGACACCTTACTAATCCTCTAGACACCATATTGATCCACTATATTTTATCCTAAATCCTTAAGCAAAAAGATTTTAATCCAATTCAACAATAAAGAAGAAAAGATATATTTACCTGAAGGAAGTGGAATATTGATGCATTTGACGATTCTTAATTCACAATCCTGGTCACCCAAATCTGTATTCGATCTATCAGGTTGAAAACAAAATAAACATAATACAGTAGCGTAGTCATTCTTCGAATTTAGTCACTCTAACCAAATGTTAGAACATTATTATTTGTGAACTAAATGTTGGGGTGTTGATGGTTTAAGTAGGTAAGAAAGAGTTGCACATGGTTTAGATAGGTGAGAAAGCGTTGCACACCATCACGATGACTCTTCTCCTTCCACACCCTAACAAATCCCTCACCTTAAATATTATCAAAACCCTATTTATCCTAACCCCACCCCACAGTGTCCAACACTGAAAGAAATTACGCCAAATTATGAAATCTCAATTGACATTAAGAGCCGAATGTAAAACGCTATTTCTAGTTCAAAATTTATTCAAAATCCACTCAAAATAAAAGAAAAGAGAAAATACATTCATTCAATGGTTTTTAAAGATTAAAATAAACACAGTAAGATAATAATCACCTGACGTTATGAAATGTTCTGTTTTCATAATGATAACGTGGAGGAGGATTACCATGTTTGAAAGAACTTTGTAAAGAATCGTAATCATGTCGACAGTTTATCGCCAATTTCTCAAACCTTAAATAAAAGTAAAAATAAGTACAAAATATCTTTTGGTCGAATACAAAATTTCCTTTTAAAAACCTTTTCGAGTTTTCGATATCGCCCATTTTTGAATAATGCTGAGTATTGTTCTTACACATCTGTAAAGATATCATAGATTAAGAATAAATATACATTCTTCATGAAGTCTTGATCTAATATCATTTTATGACCGCTGACCGGTATGTTCGTAGGTTGATGTTTATAACATAGATTAAGAATAAATATACATTCTTCATGAAGTCTTGATCTAATATCATTTTATGACCGCTGACCGGTATGTTCGTAGGTTTATGTTTTAACATACCTCGTATTGAGATTTAAGTGCTTTCTCAAGATCTCCAAATATTTCGTCACGGTCACGTGTCTCAGGGGTACAATCACTTTCATGTACGACTACAAAATCACCTGCAGCAGAGATTGATTCTGGAAGATGAGATGTCACAGTTGGAGGTTCTGGTATCTTTGACAGATCAACACGTAGTCCATTTCTAGCTGCTTCTATCATTGAATCAAATCCCTGTAATAAGAATGAGTTACTAACATCGAAAATATTTATTTACTTTTTCTGGAGTAACCTAATGTTGAAACTTGAGTCCTTGTACACTCCAGTCTAGTGTCTTCATCAGGAGTGATCTGATGTTAAAACTTGAGTTCTTATATACTCCAGTCTGGTGTCTTCATCAGGAGTGATCTGATGTTAAAACTTGAGTTCTTATATACTCCAGTCTGGTGTCTTCATCAGGAGTGATCTGATGTTAAAACTTGAGTAATAAAATACTCCAGTCTAGTTTCTTCATCAGGAGTGATCTGATATTGAAACTTGAGTCCTTATATACTCCAGTCTAGTGTCTTCATCAGGAGTATCTGATATTGAAACTTGAGTTCTTATATACTCCAGTCTAGCGTCTTCATCAGAAGTGATTTAATGTTGAGCTACATTTAACTAAAGAGTAAAATCTTCCTAAGGAGGAAATTCTATCATTATTATTGCCTTCCATACCTTGGATGTTCTAAGATGATTTCTAGCCGTATCAATATCGCCTTTTTTCTTTGCTTCAAGAGCAGCCTTTTGAAACTGTTTTTGTCGATCAAGTAAGAACTTCAATTCTTTTTCGTTTCTTCCCTTTGGAGGAGCAGGTTTTGGGGGTCCTTGCGAGATTGTAGGTCGTTGGACATCAGTCTTTGCAGCGGGTTGCGGTGGCCTGTGCGGGTTGCTGGCAGACTGAGCGGAGGCCTGGAACATAAGATTGAGAACTGATAAGTTAGTTCTATAAATGTGAATGATTTTTTATCATCAAAAACTTCTACAGTTGAGAAAGTCTACGCTAGAGAGACTGAAAGCACTGGAGAAGTGTTTCGTATAAATAGCCCCTCTCTACAAATTTCCGCTAACTCAATTCGATAACCCCCCGCCCCACAAGGCAGTTTGTTCTCAACAGGAAGGCAAAGACATATGAGTATGATTAGGTATAAATAAATAAAGATTTATAACTCAACTTTTTAATGAAAGAGAAACCCTTACCGCTGTTTGAGTAGAAACTTTAGGGGTATCAACAGGAAACGGAGGATAACCGGGGGGTGTTGGCAACTCATCAAGAGACACTGGTTTCTTGGCCTTGTGGTTGCGAATGGCATCTTGGTATTGCTAGAAAAGATGTTCAAAAGTATAGATCTACCATCAGTCAATACACATTCTTTATAAAATCATCTAACCTTGACTATTCTTTTCATTCTCCTTGCTTTGCTGGAATTCCTTCTTTCTCGGCATCGTTCACTCCAGATTGATACTTTTCAAGTCTCTGTTCAAGTGCCTCTAAGATAGTCTTTGGAGCAGATGGTTGGCCTGGTAATGAGCCTGATTCTTCAGATGTAGAGGAGGTCTGGGCACCAGATGGTTGAGGAGGTATGGAGGAGGTCTGGACATCAGATACTAGAAGAGCTGTGGAAGAGGTCTGGGCACGAGATACTTGAGGAGCTTTGGGATATGTTGACGTAACTGGCTGACCACCTAAATTTTACGTAACAGATCGGTCCTTCACTCGACATGGTAGATGAAATAAAATTTAAAGTTTATAGTAAAAAATTGCGTTGAAAGTTTTACATCAACCCAGAACAGAACTTTGAGCTTGTATATCAACCCCCCGGTTATCATTCTTGTACCTGGAAAGCCAGGGGGAGGTGGAGGGCATTGTGTGAGATCAACATCTTTACCATCCTTTACAGCTTGAATGACAGCATCGAAATCCTAAACAAAAGTTTTAATAAATCAATTATGCAATAAATAGAGCTCTAATTCAATCTCCAACATCACGGAAATAGCCTACTACAATGAGATTAAGGATTAGGCTTAGGGATTAGGATTAGGAATCAATTTCGCATATTTGTAGAACACCATAAAAAGACTCGTGGAGAATGCATGATAATGCTTCCACTTAAATTTCATTTCCTTTCCTTTAGAAATAACTCACCTTCGATATAATCAAATATTTTTTTGCATTTTCTTTGTCACCACTTCTGTTACAATTGCGAGCAGCCAATTTATACTGATCTCTCTTTAAAGTAAGTCCTTTTAATGTCTCTTCAAGTTTACTATCATTCTCACGCTGGGGTGGCATTGGAGAAACCGGTTGTGTTCTTGGAGGAACTGTTGGTGTTCTTGAAGGATCTGGGGGTGTTCTTGGAGGAACTGTTGGTGTTCTTGAAGGATCTGAGGGTGTTCTTGGAGGAACTGTTGGTGTTCTTGAAGGATCTGGGGGTGTCCTTGGAGGAACTAGGGGTGTTTTTGTAGGATCTGGGGGTGTTCTTGGAGGAACTAGAGGTGTAATTGGAGTACGTACTGGTTTAGATGGTACAGCTGGAGGTTGTTTAGGGTCATTGTTAGTAGCTTCACTAGGGACTCTGGAGGAGGTTGATCGAGGAGTGACCATAGGGGGTGTTTCAGATACACTGGATTGTGTTGGTGCTGCTGGTTTAGAACCACCTGAATAAAAAATCTCACGTCGATATGGCGCAGTGAAAAAGTTTAGAAAACAAAGGTATTTTGAAAGATGTACTATACAGTCACTATAAATATATAACAATTTCCGAGAAGAAAATTTGTTGGTGTGATAAACCATTTTGAATTTACTACTTTAGAGTATATTCAGTAAACACATACAATAAAACCATAAAGTTTAGTACATAACGTTAAAATGGAAAAACCATACCTGTTGCTACTTGTGGAGGCAGTTCGTCCATATTAACTTCTTTACCACTTTGAGCGCTTTTAACATTTTATCAATTGTCTACAAACAGAAATCGATATTACACATCCACAGTCAGTCGCGTAGCCAACCGCAAGGTTCGTCTTGTTACGTAGAAATTTCATAACATTAGCATATTTAATTTGTTTGAAACTTAATTATTTTTACAGTGAGAGAACAACAAAATATTTTCATCGACGACCAAGCTCACTGGCTGGCTACGCCGCATTCAAATGTATAAACTTTCAAAACACGAGAAGTTGAGCTTTCTTCCCGACTCTTCTTCCATTAAAATGTCATCTCACAAACCTTTAAACCTCTTTTAAATCTTCTAGCCTTCCCACCATCGCCAGCTTTCTCTGCATTAGCAATAGCAGTTTCGTACATTGCCTTACGTTCTGTGATTACAACTACATCACCACCCTAGAAATAAATAGAATGTAGAGCATGATTACGTATACAGTGATGGATTCAGGATGATTTTGTGTATGTGTGTGTGTGGGGGGGGGGTTAGATTTTGTTGACTCCTTTGTGGTGTCTTTATGTCATTCACATGTCAGATTTTTTGTAGGTTTGACTTGAGAACCTGGGAAATATGTAGTTTGACAGTTGCGTTAGCTTGATTGGTTGGTATAATAATATTTCGTTGGGAAGTGTGCACCCCCTGCACCCCTTCTAGCCGAGGTTAGAAATGGTGTGCACCCCCCCTCCGGACTCCTCCCTCCCTTACATCCCTATAATTACACAGTTGTTGTTTGAAGTGGTCATTAAAACAAAGGATATTAAAAATTAAAAGGATGAAGGCATTCGAGTTGTGGATCAGGAGAACTATGGAGAGAGAAAAGGTGGACAGACAGGGGGGGAAACGATGAGATGAAGATATTTTTCGTTGAAAAGAAAGAACTGTTGGAAAGAACTATTACAACGAAAAAGTGACGCATTATTTGTGCACATATCTTTTTTCTTTCAAAGAAGTAAATTCGGGGAAGAGTTATGGGTAAAGCCTCGTTCACACGAGTGAAATAAAGATAAGCACAAGCGCAGACAAAAGATAAAACAAAGATAATCAACGAAGAATGTGACATAAGCATCGACATAAGCGCAAGCATAAGGAGAAAATTCAAGCATAAGCTAAGAGAAGAACAAAAAGAAAATTTGACGAAAATCCCAATGTCTTTGTCTTTGTAAACCTCTAGAGCAACAAAAACAAAAGTCTCGACGTTTGCGCTTATTTTACTCATGTGAACCAGGCTTAAAAGAAAGCAGGGAAGAGATACGTAAGAAAGCTAAATGATTTGAAATAGGATGGTTATGGCGGCATGAAAAAAACAACTGAAAACAGAGAGACCTGGAGAAGATGGATGCCAAGAAAGACATCTCAGTAGAGAAAATACTCGACACAAGTAAATATTGCTCAAGGAACCATATGTTATTGTTTTGTACGATTCATCACAAGGTGCGAAATAACGACCAATTAACGAACATTTGTCCTGCAAAATGTTTCTGTGACGAAACTTTAGGTTCAAAAATATTTTGTACGTACTGCATCAGAAATGTCCTGGCAAAAAATGGTTTCCCGGTAACTCAGCCTGCCCCAGCCTGCGCACAGCAGGCTACAGGTAATCCTGGCCTCGTTCAATTTTTCGTGAACTATTAACATCTAGATTTTTTTGTATCTAACAAATATTCAAGTTTTATGAAAAGGACTTCGTCCAGGGACGGCGCTAGAACGATAATTGAGGGAGGGTGTATACAGTGCTGTAGAAGTGGGGAGGGGCGCTTGGGGAGGAGTGATTACCTTTGAAATGGGTAATTTTTCATAATTTTATGGCTTCAGTTTCGTCAAGAGAGCCCTCCATCTGATAAATTTAGTTCTACAGCACTGGGTGTATATTCATATATTCAGTTGTCGGCGAGTGATTTCTTTTGAAAGTGATTTGGTTTTCTAAAGAAATTAATAGGACACAACTGAATGTATGAATATACACCACTACCCCACCCCCCCCAACTAGCGTTCTATTGTAGTGTCGTCTCTAACTTCGTCCTATTAAAATAATAGACTTCATTACCAAACAACATTGCAAATTCTCATCTAGCTCCCCTCTAAGGCTAACGACATCAATAACACGTCATCCCATTAAATACAAAATGCTTACCGATTGTTTTGGCAGTTCTTTACCAGGAACTGCTTCCCTTCTTGCTTTAGTTGGAAGTAAAACAGGAGTGCCATCTAAAGATGGAGTACTCTCCAATGGAGTAAGGCTGTCAAGTTCTGCCTATGAGTAAAGAACTTTTATTAGTAGTGGTATAAAATAAAAACAATAAAACATGAGTGCTGATTTGTCTACAGTTGAGTTTGCATTAACCTGTGTGTATGTCGATCATCAAGCTTAATGAATGAATCAATTAATCAAATAGAATTTGCAAATCAACCATGAATACAATTTAGAGGATGAATTAAAACATATTATTTTTTTATCCTTGTTACTTTATAAAAGAAATAAAAGATGTTTTTCGCGTTTGCTCAGGCTTAAGCAAACCTCGAAGACATTTGTGAAAACTGCGAAGCATGCGCAAGCCTCGAACTTTGGTCTTGTGCTTGCTATGTTCTGCTCTCAATTCGCAACAGGTTTAATGAAGAAATGTGTTTATGAATATGTGTATGTAAATATGTGTATGTAAATATGTGTATGTAAATATGTGTATGGAAATATGTGTATGGAAATATGTGTATGGAAATATGTGTATGGAAATATGTGTATGGAAATATGTGTATGGAAATAGTCGGTGCAAAAGTTAGGAATTTCACTAAAAACGTTTTATGGAAAACTACAATTCCTAAAGACAAAAGTTAGGAATTTCACTAAAAATATTTTATGAAAAACTACTATTTCCTAAAGAAAAAAGTTAGGAATTTCACTAAAAACATTTTATGGAAAACTACTATTCCTAAAGACAAAAGTTAGGAATTTCACTAAAAATATTTTATGAAAACTACTGTTACCTAAAGCTAATAAAAGAAAACATATATATTCCAAAAAGCACCATCTTGTTCACACAACTGATTCAAATGTAACAAGACAAAAGATTTTCAATATTTAACTTGAGTAATCATCTCAATAATACAACTCAAATTTTTAGTTTACAAGATGATGAAATTTGAGGTATGCATCTTTTGTATTAAACATATTTCTTTTAAATTGTCAGCTGGAATCGTTCTTTTAAAGCTAATAATATGTTATTATAGTGATGTTATACAAATAATGAACAAAGTTGAATGCCTCTAGACAAAAAAATAAACTAATGCAATTTAACTAAGGAAATTATTAAGTCATTTTAAATGTTCTTTGAAATGTAATATAAAAACTTTGTAATAAATTATTAGGAATTATTCGATTGGAGTTTCGGTAAGCCATAGAAGCGTGAGGGTTGAGAACCTCTGGAGAAGATTTCATTGTAAACTTTGTTGTTGATAGAGTCTTTCTTTAGAAGCTTTCTTAACAGTCGTTGCAGTTTGGCTTCATGTGATAGTGTGACGTCTTCATTGAGTGGGGTAAACTTTGCTGTATTGTTAATGATTTTAAGACAGGAATCATTTTTAGGAAGGAATGACTTTAAGGAAGGCCTTAAAAATCATTTTAAGAAAAGAATGATTTTAAGGAAGGCCTTAAAAATCATTTTTAAGAAAAGAATGACTTTAAGGAAGGCCTTAAAAATCATTTTTAAGGAAGGAATGATTTTAAGGAAGGCCTTAAAAATCATTTTTAAGGAAGGAATGATTTTAAGGAAGGCCTTAAAATCATTAACAATACAGCAAAGTTTACCCCACTCAAAGAAGATGTCACACAATCACATGAAGCCAAACTGCAACGACTGTTAAGGAAGCTTCTGAAGAAAGACTTGATTAACAACAAAATTATTTGATTATTTTTCTGAGAAATGAAATAAATCTTACTTACCAGTAAATCAGGATCATTAATATCCTCATCTTCAGTGTAGTCAATGTCCTTCATACACTCGGCTGCCATCGCATCAATTGAGGATATATCCATAAGATCTAAAACACAGCATATGGCATTAAAACAGAACAAAAAGTCACAATTAAAATTTGGGTGAAATAATTTCCCATTGATCCATGATGCATTACAAAAAAACCACAAGACTATTGCCTTTGTGTCAAACTAACTTCTTTTTGGTCTTCTTTGTTTCTGCTGTGGCTGCCCACCCCGAAGAGCTGCTAACTCTGCTTCAAGATCATCGTCATTTTCATCTCCATCACCAAACATTGTCATTGGATCAATACCAACATTCATACCCAATCCACCTATCTGTATAAGTAAATAAAACCATCAGTCCAAACTGTTGGAAAACTAGGTATGAATAGTTGCAAGTGAAAATAATCATCTGTAACTACAACTTGTACTCCAAAATAAGCTGCGAGCTTTCTTCCACAATCAAAATTACATCAGTTCAATTACTGGTGGGATTCAAGTTTTGCTGCAGTTTGGCAAACAAAGCAAAGTTGAAATGCAAGATACAGCAATAAATTGTTGTGTAGCTTGAAAAGAGTGCAAGTTTTCCAAACCTGTGTCATAGTTATTAAGGCTGAAATGATTTCTTCAACACAAAGACCAATGACATAAATTTTCAGTTATGCAAAGAATTCAACGCGTATGAGGTAAGAAATTATGATGAAGTAGTGAATAAAACATTTGACTTCATCGGTTTACCCCGAGGACTGTTTGTTGACAAAAACTTTACAGGTGGTGTGGCCTAAACGGCCTAACTACTATGAAAATTTTGACGCTTTGTTTAAATTGTTAACTTAACAATGAATCGTCACATCGAAAATAAACTTTCGCAACAACAATGTCCTTCGTATGACAATAAACAACAGCCAACTTCCTTGCTTTGTCATAAAATTCATCGTGTAGAACTGAAATAAGCTTAATATTCTTACCATATCTAAATCGCGTTTTTTCGGCCCAGAACTTGGGCGAGAAGAAGACTTTTTTTGTTTAAACATCGCTGCTTAGTGCTAAACTGAAAAGTTGAAAACAGTCGTGATGTGTAAGATTGGGAAGGGGGGAGGGGGAACTAAGACAGAAATATACCACTACCCCGGGAATATACAATAAAGATTATATAAGAATGTTCTGTCAATTTCTGTGCAAAAAGACAGTGGTTTTGGTCGAAATTCAACTGAATACTAATATATAATATAGAAAATAAAGATAAAATTCAAAACGTCCGTCCAAATAAAGTTTTATGATTTTTTAGTTTCGATGTACTTGTGTTGATAACATGATAAAATATGTGAAGACCGTCAAAGAGATTGAATACAAATATGTCAAACTGATGGGGAAATTTACCACAATTTTTTAAAGAATGTAAATCAATTGACAATAATTTATTGCTAGAGTCGTAGAGTTGTACAACAGTTGTACTTTCTCATTAACATACCTTCCCCGGGAAGTTGAGAATATCGTGAATTGATAAGTTGACATAAAACTTTCTGCCAACTTTTGCTGTTAGAAATGCCAAGTTTAATTACGTATGAAAGAAAGAGTTTGACAGACTCTCAATATCATGCATTGGGAGTATATTTCACGAAGAAAAGACAACGAGAAAGAGAAAAGAAACGGGAAAACGAAAGCTCTTCACTGGAACAACCAACTACCTCAACTGAGACTACTGAGTTAAATGACGAAGAGAAAATTGACAGTCCTCCAAGTGCTAAGAAGCCAACTGCTAAGGAACGTCGTGAAGAGATACAAAAAGACCTAGACGACGTCGAAAAGCAGCTGGAGGAACTAGAAACAACACTGGCTTCTCTTGAGAAACAAAAACACGAACTGTTTGAGGAGTTAAAAGGCCTAGTACATAACAAAAAGCACGAAGAGAAAGAAAAACAATTCAGTACTGCACCTTCAGGACTTCCTACCTTCACCACACAACAGCCACCAGGCTTTCCTCCTGCTGGTGAAGGACTGCCAGCTGTGTCTTGTTCACAAGGTATTCAGCACATGAAGATATTGTTATTATATGGAGCAATTCATTGTTCAGCTGGCTCAGTTCAATGTATACATGATAAACATGTCAAATTAATGTTTCAGGCTAATATACATAGATCAGAACAACATCATTACTTGTTACAATCATGTCATGTGACTTCTTATCAACTCAATACACAAGGTCCAACTACAGTGACAGCACGTTAATACTTTGGGTTATAACTGTTCAAACCTCTTCATCATCATCATCATCTTGCGGCCTCAGCCAAGATTGAATGCATCACATCTTTCCAGTATTCTCTATCTTTCATAGCTGCTAACAGATTTTCCTTAGGAATTGTTGTGTCTCGTCTTATCCTATCTGGAAAGGTTAACTTGCATGATGTATTCTCAGATGATGGGTGTCTCCAAAGTACAAATGATGACACTAGTTCATCAGTTGCACGTGCACAATGGCCTGCGAACTGAACACATCTCGTACAAACTTCTTCTGCTGATCAGCAATGAGAGTTTCCTCCCTTGAGTTTTGTAATCACAATTTAAAGATTGAAATTGACAAGTCATTGTACCAATAACCTAGTCTCTGTTCACACCAGAAATAATCTAGCACAAATTGAAAAGGCATAGTACTAACTTTATTTAACTGCAGCTTATTTTTGTGAAAATGGTATCTCTAAAGACTTAAATGATATGTTGAACACAAATCTTCATCATAAACTTCCATTTTATCACATAATACCAAAGTTCAAAATCTTATTTTTGAAAATGCATGCCTAACTAATGATTATATTATGCAATTTTTACATCTAGCTCTACCAAAAACTATTAGTCGATACGAAAGTGCTTTACCAAACAATCAATTACCATTGGTATGTGTTCAATCATGTGTCAAATGTTTATTGAAAGTACCATATTATCATGTTCTCCAAATTTTACCTTTTCAAAATTCAAGTCGTTAATATTATTTTGACAGAATTTCCAACATCGTGATGTTCACCGTCATTTCATTGCTGGAACTCAAAGTAATCCATCACCCTATCCCTCTCAACCCTCTTTGAATCCATTTGTCCCTCATGATGTACCAAGAAATCGTCAACCATATCTAGCTTCTAATACTAACCCTGAAACACTACCCCCACCCCCACCACCACCACCATCAGGTCAACCACCACCTCCACCTTCTGGTCATCTACCCCCACCACCCCCTCCTTCAAATCAACCGCGACCTTCATTCTCTGGTCATCTACTTTCAAGTAAACCTCGACCCCTACTACCAAGATACCCAACATTACAACAAGCTTCACATACACCATCAAGTCTAGCACCACACATACAAGGTCAAGCTTCATCTTCTCATGGTACTCACTTCATACCATCCTCTAACAAACCCTGGCCTCTTCCCCTGGTTCATCCACCACCCCCACCATCAGGTCAACCACCTCCTTCTCTGTCTTCTCATTTTCGTCCGCCTCCTTCTGGTGTTTTCCATCCTCCACAATCAGTTCTCCCAAGTTATGGTCAGGAGCCTAGATCAACCCCTCCTGCAATACCTCAATCATCACGTTCGAATCAACCTCCGCCACCTCCATCTGGTCATCCACCAAGGAAGAAAGATATTTGGTCCACATCACGATCCAGATACCACTGATCTTTGTTACTACATTAGCAATGTAACGTGAAAGCGCATGCGTAAATTTCACTGAGACAATTACTTCTAAAGTTTATTTGAATTCTATAAAATTAAAATGTTCAAAGTCAGATTAATAATTAAAAGTGTGATCTTTGTTGACAATGCCTAAAATTGTTTCATTTCCATTTTCCTCTACATTATCCAATAATTTTCCACATAATCGGCCTTTTCACGTTTTTCTGTTTCCGTTTTTCTTTCTACTATTTCCGTTTGAATTTGAACCAAACACCGACTTTAGATATCTTTTCACGAAGCTTAACAAAATCACTAACCTTCCTCAGCCACTAATTATGACACTACTCGAACACATCTCAGCGATCATTATGAAATGATTACATCCAATCAATAAGGATACTTATTTAAAACTAAGGATAACATTATCAAACGAACCGAAATTGAGGTTAATCTCCAGTGCGTGGTCGACAAAATGAAGTGATTGAAGTCATGATTCATTGGATAATCTGCTCTGAGCTATCGCCTGTAGTGTTAAATAAATTGTCGTGCGTTCTTATGACCAAGTTTACTCTGATTGATGCCATATATAACTTTTTTTCCAAATTTAATCGGATGAACACTCACCCCCTATTCTGAACTACACGACTATGTAAAACAGGGGGAATGGGCTCATAAGACCAAATTTAAAAAAAATTTGCATGTATGGTACCATGGTCCAGTTGCTCAGTCACCATAATCGTAAACGAGGATATATAAAGTAGACTCCCAGCCTGCAAGTAAGGTCGTGCTATACCATTGCTATACAGGCTATACCTGAAACCATCCCGCAAGAAAATCGTGTTATACTGCGATGTAGATTTCAGATCAATAGTAGATATTATGTATCTCTTTAGAAATCTACTATTTTACATTAAATAAACACTCAAATACTTGCATTGCATGACCCAACTTGCGGTGGGCTGGCTACGTTTGAAGTACAAACTTACAATATTCGCTATGAACACAACTATGATTTCTTTAGGTTCAGTCAACACCATCAAGTTACTTGTACAAATTTTTATAACCTAGATCTTAGGACGCCAGCCACCGATAAAACGCATCAACTTGTTACAATGAAAACTAGTTACGTTTAAAGACTCCAGAGACTCCTTATCCATAGTAATCAACAATGATCCATCGATCATCTCTGCCTTAAACGTTTCAACATAATCCTTCATACCTAAATATGAGAGTAGACGACCGACATCACTTATCTTAAGATCAGACAAATCTTGAGGATATTTTGAAAGCGCTTCATATAATGCACTGTCTTCTTTTGGAGGGATATGACTGGGTAGAGGTGGCGGTGATGGATATTGATTTGCAGGCAAGGGTGGGAGAGGAGTATCTTTTATTGTGGGTTTATGTGACACCGATGGATGTTCATCAACAGGCAAGGGTGGCAGAGGTAAATCTTGGATTGTGGATTTAGAGGACACCAATGGATGCTGATCAACAGGCAAAGGTGGCAGAGGAGTACCTTGGATAGTACCTTCAGGGGACATCAATGGGTACTGATTTACAGGCAAGGGTGGCAGAGGAATATCTTGAATTGAAGATGCAGGACTTTTCTGTAAAGAGAAAATAAGCAAAAATTAAGAGCTATTTATATGAACGTTTAAAATGCAGTCAATACGCTCATGGATAAAAAAAATCAAATCACAGCCTTACTCGGACGTCGGTTGGCTTTAGACTGAAATTACATTGTTTACTTGTATAGTATGAATCAAAAATCACAGCCTTACCCGGACGTTGGTTGGCTTTAGACTGAAATAATATTGTTTACTTGTATAGTATGAATCAACAAATCACAGCCTTACCCGGACGTCGGTTGGCTTTAGACTGAAATAACATTGTTTACTTGTATAGTATGAATCAACAAATCACAGCCTTACCCGGACGTCGGTTGGCTTTAGACTGAAAAAACATTGTTTAGTTGTATAGTATGAATCAACAAATCACAGCCTTACCCGGACGTCGGTTGGCTTTAGAATGAAATAACATTGTTTACTTGTATAGTATGAATCAACAAATCACAGCCTTACCCGGACGTCGGTTGGCTTTAGACTGAAATAACATTGTTTAGTTGTATAGTATGAATCAAGGTCAGTGTAGTCTTCATAGTCATTTGAATCATCAGAGAGCGGTTCTTCGTAAACATCCTCCTTTTGCAAAATATTCTTGTATCTTCCATTCGATTGTTCTTGATGTTTTATGCTTTTGCGTTGCCCACTTGTGACGATTTAGCCGAATCATTAGAGTCCTTCTTGCCATGAAAAAATTTACCAAAGACACTCTCTTGTTTTGTCGTTTTCACAGTTTGCCGCTTCGGCGGACGTGGAGGAGGAGTCTGGGCAATAAAAAACAAATCTATTTTAGTACAACGCCAGTGCAACCGCTGCAAAACGGTTACAGATCAACATGAAAACTTTTCGCTAATTGTAAATCAGTATTGGTCATAATGACTAATTCTACCTTGACACTTGAGGGTGAACGATCAGGAAGTTTAGGCGGTTCTTCGTTTGTCACACTATTTTGAGACATTCGCTCACGAAGAAGCTCCATTGTTTCCAAAGATGCTTCCTCGATCATAGAGACACCAGCCGAGTTGTTTATTGTTTTCTGGACAGCGTCGATATGCTTATCCACATCCAGGTTTTTGAAAGCTGTAAGATCAGTCTGCTTGAACTGCTTGTCCAGAGTGTTTACGACACTTGCGTAGGTTTTGTTCCCCTCCAGAAAACCATTAGCGACAGTGACTTGTATATCAAGTTTTAAAGGAACCTTGAAGCAGACCTAATGATGTAAAATACAATTTTGGTGCAGATGAGATTGATGGTTGTGTTACACTAAAATAGGTGGATTCAAAAGTGATGAATGAACAACAAAGAACGAGAACAGTCTTTACACTATCTAATATATATAAGAAGTAAGATAACGTATGTTAGTGTAGGTAGTGATGAATGAACAACAAAGAACGAGAGCAGTCTTTACACTATGTAAAATATATAAGAAACAAGATAACGTATGTCAGTGTAGGTAGAGATGAATAACAACAAAGAACGAGAACAGTCTTTACACTATGTAAGATATATAAAAAATAAGATAACGTGTGTCAGTGTAGATAGTGATGAATGAACAACAAAGAACGAGAACAGTCTTTACACTATGTAAGATATATAAAAAATAAGATAACGTGTGTCAGCGTAGGTAGTGATGAATGAACAACAAAGAACGAGAACAGTATAATGAAATAAGTAAGAAGATGATGTGGAATGAACAACAAAGAACGAGAACAGTCTTTACACTATGTAAGATATATAAAAAATAAGATAACGTGTGTCAGCGTAGTTAGTGATGAATGAACAACAAAGAACGAGAACAGTCTTTACACTATCTAAATATATACGAAATAAGATAACGTGTCAGTGTAGGTAGTGATGAATGAACAACAAAGAACGAGAGCAGTCTTTAAACTATCTAAATATATACGAAATAAGATAACGTGTGTCAGTGTAGGTAGTGATGAATGAACAACAGAGAACAAGAACAGTCTTTGTACTATCTAAATATATAAGAAATAAGATAACGTGTGTCAGTGTAGGTAGTGATGAATGCACAATAAAGAACGAGAACAGTTCTACTGTCACCAAAAATGTATTTAAGAACTTTTTAAAATCAATTAGTTTATAATTTTCTTACCTTTTCTTCTTCTACGTTTGCACAAACCACAGTCACAATTATATCTTTTTCTTCGATTTCACCAATCACCGTCATTTGACCCAATCTCGTTAACTTTGCCGTAAATTGTTCTGAATCAGGCGGAAGATTTCCAATATTATTGTTTCTATCAACGAATCTTATCTTTGCGGGAAAACCATGCTTCGCTTTGATTCCAGCTAAAGTGTAGAGGTTTGGGTCCAACAATGCGACAAAAGTAGATGAGTCATGTGATGATATGTAAGAATCGTGATTGGCTGATAGATTTTTACATCTAATTCCCGCTGAATTCGACTCAATTTTCTTGATTTCAAGGACATCGTTTCTTTTGAACGACTTACTCCAATTTGCATCAACTTTCAAAGCACGCACATATTTGATGTGGCGATGCGTTTCAAGCAAATGTCGCACACTCAAAGTCATCTCGTGGCCTTCCAGCGGTAGCAATTCGGCCAGGGATGAACAGAATGTTGGCAAAAGGATGTTTTTTCTGTATTCAACTTGACAAACAACCTTTGGAGTAACCCAAAGTCGATGTAGTGTTAAAATTTGATCGCTGCTAAACGTGGTTCGTTCATCGTTGCCGCAGTAACCATCCTTCACTAAAACGACTTGAGGTAGTGGAAAGTTATCAACAAATTCCTTCAACTTATATTCTTGGTTGCTCCATATTAGTGTTTGGGCCAGTTTATACTCCGATGATTTGGTCATGTTAAATACGATAGTCGTTGAAATAAAGGACTTTTCGATTTCGTCTACAGTTGCAATCACTTTTGTAGGTTTCGATTTCTTTTTTTAAATGCAATGTTCTGCTTTCATTTCCTTTACATGGGATAACCTAATTAAATATTTCGAAATTGTCGGTGTCGTTCTTTTTGATGATTCGCTACAACCAGTTAATGATGTTTTTGTTAATTTAAATACCAACGCACGAGATTACTTCGAAACCAGAAACATCAAACAAACCGTGGACGTTGTTCGTATCAAGCGAGATCACAAAATCTGGTCTAGCATTTGACGAATGATTAAACAAACAATTGCTGATCTAGTGTTCATATTTACCCATGCTATGTTACTGTGTTCTTGACTGCGAGCATAATAGTTTATTATTTGAAACTTACTGAAAAGGATTAAAATTTACACGCTGGCCATTCAAATGTAAACAAGGTTACATTAAATAGAAAGTGTATTTCACAGCTAAGCGTGGTTATATTGTATTGTAATGTGTTTCCGGTCATTCTTGAAACAGTTTTCTCGTGTTTGGTCTTCTAGCCGAGGCTAATTAATGTAACAGGAGCTTTATATTGCTAGGATTTGATTATGGCATTAAAATTTCTGAAGACAAGTCATGCACTAAGCATGAAATTTGACTATATGACATACATACAAAGGTTAATCTTATTTGATCGCTATACACTCATAACAAAGAGCAACAGGTTTATTTACGTACCCTCTAAGATGTAGAACACCTTATTTCTGTCCTCAAACTATCAGAGATTCATCCTATTTGTGCCTGCCAGGTAAATTCTTTGATAATAACGAGCTCACCAACTTCCTTGTTGTCAAATAATTCGTGTGAATACAGTATTTGCATTTTCTTTGTGATGCAAAGATGCGTTTCAAAATAAGTGGCCTGGGCCCGGGAAGAATAAAGCGCTTTTATGTATTGCAGTATAGTTTCGAAAGAAGCCGCCCAAAATCTTTCGATTTCCAAATTAGTTGTCTCAAATGGAAGTTACTTCTGAGAGAGTGATTAGTTTCAAAGAATTCTTATTTCTAATAGTTGTTTTTAGCATTGGCTAAATTTTAATCCATGCAATATAATAGGTATTTTTTAATACAGTAAGTTGCATATATGGTTACGGCATAATTTTTTACAACTTTGAAAAGCTGTATTTTTGAGAGTTTCTAGGTAATTTGTTTGATAATTTCTCTTAAAATTTTTCTTTACTTATATATTCAGTTGTGCAACCTGGTTACGATTGATTTCTTTTGTAAAGACAATCACAAGTAGATTTCTTATGACTTAAATTCTTCAGAATTGTGACCAGGAATATACCGGGCGGAAAGCGAATTCTTAATATAAATATCAAAGCCCAGCAAAGTGCTTTAAAAGAGCCATTTAATACAAAAATAACATATAACAAGAAATATTTATTTAAAAGCGTAACGTTTCGTCTTGACTCTGAAGACATCATCAGACAGTATTAAACTACAAGTATAGAGGGATGTATATATATATTAGCTATTTACATAATATTAAATTACATGGTGGGATGAAAACGTGATAGTAAATATGGGATAAGATGGTATGACGTGCGATAAGTAGAAACACGAAAGAAACAAAAAAAACACAAACTTCTTTTTAAAAACTAAATTCTTTTCAAAAAAAAAATCAGAAAAGCACAACTGAATGTATGAACCTCTCCCTCAAGACGAAACGTGAGCCCTCAATGACCGACAGCTTTGCAAGCAATAACAACTGAGCATGACGACACCAGGACATCATTTCAGAAGAGGGGGGGAGGGGGACACCAAATTTTCAATACGTAAGCGCAATATAAACTTGTAGTAAAGCAACTTTTTAAAATTTGATTGGTTAGTGGTCTATATTTTGAGAGATGGTGTTACAACATATTTTTTAAGAAGTTTCTCTTCCTGTCACCCAATTTAGAAATGCCACTACGAGAAAAATCATTTGAAATGCGTAGACAGAAAAAAATCGGGGAAATTTCCCATCAAGATATCGGCTCAGCAAATAAAAAGATCATTACCGTGTAAATCACCAAAACTATGATAGAGTATTCCATCATTTTAACCGAAAATTTTAGTTAGATATTTAAATTAGAAACGTGTATGACTTTTAAGAAAATTATTGCTGACCTGCATTGTGACCAAAGTCAGTGTCATACACTAATAATAGCAAGCAATTCAACTGTATCTTGTCACCACCGAAAATAGTTCTCACGTAAACTCGTTATTTGCCAGGAAGATAAAGCAGCCTTCAAACTTAAAAAAGGCACACTTCTGAGATGAGCGTATTGAAGCTGGACGACGTAAAAGGTGGAAAAAAGCTCTTGTTTGGAAAGAAAAAGATCTGCTTATTGAATAGATGCTGTCGGATGAAATAGCTAGGTGGGCGATAAAGAATTAACAAGAAGGTGCGAAGGCGTTGTTACATACAGGAAACTACTGATAAACAAAGATTACAAACCTAGAAAGTAACAGAACAGAAACTACTCAACATATGAAGATTACAATTTAAAAATGACGTTTTCTGAAGAAACAAAGAAGAAGTTTGTGATGAACAAAACACCAATGAAATCTTGAACTGAAAAATAACTTGATGTGAGTCGTATGAACGACTATCACCTCAAAAATATCAACCTTTTTGAATAAGCGTTCAAGATATAAAAATATTGCATCCTCTAGAAGTCACATCAATGTACATAGTGAGGACTAAGCTATGGCTTTATGCCAGAAAGTAAAGATTTTGAAAGACTGAAAACAATCAAGTCAGCTATAATACTATTGGATAAAGCAATAATACATTGCTTTCAAAGATTAGAAAGTGAGAGACTTCGCGTGATGTCATTAACAAGAAGGTGTCATTGACAATTACTGTTTAACAAATTCCTTTAAACTCGCTCTCCCCAAAACAAACATCGTGCTTTAAATAGCATAACCCCTTCTCCCTTGACCGTGGAATAGTTTTGACATGCCATAAGAGAAAAGTTGTCGAAATTGCTTCAATGGATTTTCTTTCAAATTGTTCTTAAACAGTTTGAGATAGAAGTGAACTTGTTCTTTGATCATGAATAGACACTTTAAACACAAATCTCACAGCTCGAGGACCTTAACGTGGGAGCGCGACTTCGTCAAAACAAGAAGTGATAGTTCCGCCATGCGGATGCTCGTCGACCAGCCACTCGAGCGCTAAAACTTTATTACAAAAAAACACGTGACAGACAATCCTCTTGTCAGAGTCTCTGCATAACTAAATAAATAGAATTGTTCTTCAAGGTTATCTTGAACCTCAATCATCCATCCAAATGGCCGAACTTTTTGGTTGTAACATCATGGATGCATCTACATTGGCTGAAAATCTAACTTGGTCTCAATCAGCGCTTACGATTCGGGAATTTCTTGATGAGTTCGGTATTCCGAATGTGGTTCGCTTGCGGAATAGCCAAGATGATTATGGCCATAGCAGTTCCTCTAAAGAGGTACTCTTGCTAAATAAGCGCTTTACGAAACAATATTTCACCAGCAAGGACTCAAACGGTAAATCGATTTTAATTCCTCAAGATTGTCAAAAGATGTTACTTCTTCGTCCATTACCAGAGCAGTGTCAGTATGACGAACTGTTGGTAGAGCAGTTACCATACGTGTTTCCGCAAGTGAAATATCTTCGAGTTTTAAATACTGGAGCTGGAGGATCCGTTTCCCCGTGTTTAAAACCAGAATCCATCGTTGAAATGGAATTCGTGGATGCCGGAAAATCGTTGGTAAAATTCAAGGACATCGATAAACCGTTAATGTTTGGCTCATGCTTGGCTTTTCAACCTCTGTTGGATTTCAGAGAATATCTCATTGAAGATGCCGTGAGCAAATTTGGCTTGCCTTTAGCGGTACGTAAGACGTTCAATAGTTTGTCAGCAGTTGGGGTAGGGGAGTAAGAAACTGTTGATGTTTGTTTTGTTTTGATGAATAAACAAAAAGTAAGATCTTTTTGTATGGATAAGTTCTCTCGGCTAATATTTATGCGGTCAAGCTTTTCATTGTTCTCTTGCAGACATTGTCGGGACGTAATGCCAGGCCTTCGTAAATACTGTTTACAAAAATCTATGATGTTGCTTATAGCATAGTTTGCTTTCAAAATATTCAAGATCTGCATAACTGAGAAACTTGACAAGTGTCTTTGTGCATGATTTTCATGCATAATTTGAAACAGAGCTTGACACGTCAAGTGCTTCACAAACAAAGGATCGCTTTTCAGAGTGCAAATGTGACGCCTTGAAGGTGATGATTTACATGAAAGTCGCAGCAAAATGTTCAGTCATTCAAACGTGTTTTTCTAAACGAGAATTTTCACCTAAAAGTTCAAACATAGAGCTAGCAAAGCTTTGAAAAATTTATTTTCAAATTATTTTTGTAGACAGTTAATGCTTCACCCGGCTTTTATTAACTCGCAGAATGATAAAATTATTCGATAAAACTAATCACTTTATACAACTATTTGTATTTGTATTTTTCAAATCAATCAATTCAGGCAGATATCAACATGAGCATGAAAATTTGATATGAAATATACAGTTTTAGTTTGTTGTATCAAAGCATGAAAATTGTTGTGATAGGAATAATTTAATATGATTAAGGAAGTGTGTCAAGCAAGATGCTCATTCGCTCTTTTGTGTGTGATACGGTAACAAAGTGCACAAAATAACACAAGTTAAATGAAAAAAAATTCCTTGACTTTGCTACAAATTTCACGATAAACTATAAGCGTTAAAAAGCAGCGTGTTTTCCAATGTAGCTATTTCACGCCCGGTGAAATGGATCAATACCCACACGTCACGGTCAAAGACGGAAAAAAGCCAACTTTGAGGCCCAAAACATCTAGGAAGATTACATTTTTGTCTCATAAATTTTTTTCCAAATGTTCTTCAAATCGTGCACTATTTAAATCGATAATTTCTCTGTAGTTGATATAAACACTTTAAAGTTTAAAGTGTTACAAAAATTGTGTATATCACAGTGGCATGTGGGTAAGATATTGAGAAGAAGGCTGAGCATCCAAATTTAAAATACCTATTATCTATTTTGAACTTCCAACCGTTGAAAACATTATATCCTTTTTACAGGTGTATTTTACAAAGCGAGCGCAAAATTCCAACATATCTGCTCAGATTTCACTAGAAAATTCAAATTCAGACGATGAAAAGGTAATCATTGTCAATCATGAGATTCAACAAGAGTTTGTTGTAGGAATGAAAATGAACGATGATGCTTTGAATCTATCGAGAGACAACGTAAATTGTCGATTGATACCTTTGGACACCGATATCAAAGTATTCCCTCCATCGGAGTGCGTCGATAATGACTCGATATACGTCGTGAATATCAGAACTATGAACAAAACTTTTTTAGATAGATATGACTTTTCTGGTTTCGATGCGTCTGATGAGTTCGTTGTTGTGGGAAACGAAGCAACGAAAGAACTTCTTAACTACGTAGTGAATGCTAAACACCAGAACAAAACCAAACCAAAGCTTCCAGTCAAGAATACATCACTCCTTCACTACAAAAGAAACAATCTGCAAATGTGCAGGCTGCCGCGGGCACATGCCAAAATACCTGGTTTCTCACGTGACTACGAGAACGATGGAAGTTATGAGCGCACTGAGAACAGTTCAAAATCGTGTAAGAAAACAGAGGGTTACTGTCTCCTAAAATCTTCCCCAACAGAGAGAAAGGAAATCCTTGATTACATGCATTATCATGTTTACGAAAGCATAAGCGATAAAGAGTACGAGGAAATCGATGACGACGGCGATGTATTTATGACTCCTGAGAAACCAAAAAAAATCCAAGGTAAAATTGGTAAGACCACGAAAAACGATTGTTCAAGTTCATCGAAAGGGAACAACGGAACAGTTAGAGACAAACACAAATCTAATGGAAGAAAAGATGCTATTAAAACGAAGACTAATAAGAAAGTGGATTCTAGAATTTCTTTCTTCAATGGAACCGTTGACCAACATAAATTGAACAAGAAAGACAAAACTCGAAATGGTGGAAAAAATCCTCCGTTGTCGAAAGCAGATCAAGCAAGGTCAAACAAACATCCTACATTGCAGAAACCTTCCATTTCTTCACCAGAAAATCCCCCCGTTAGTCCTAAACCTACACTACGTGCTGTAAAATCTACTCCCGTCACGTCAAAATCGGATGGTGACGAAAGGAAAACATCTGTAATTGCTAACTATTCGAAAGCAAATCACTCGCAAAAATATCGACAACAAGACCACATTGTAAAAACGCCAAAGTTGCAAAAGCACAATGCCAGATTACATTCAGAAGAAAATGAAACTCGCGTCACGAAGAACGACAGCATTGGTGTTACAAATCATGAACGAACCAATCAAAAGGTTAGCCCCAGTTCTTCCGACGAAGAGTACGAATTTCCATTGCTGTATGTAACAACAGACGTCTCTCCAACTGACTTAGAAGATCCATTAGCGGACGAAGTGAATAATAAAGGTACATCTGAAAGAACTTCAGGGAGAGATATTACTTCATCAGATACTTCAACAGTTGTGAGGAATGCTACCGGAGCTCTGCCAGCAGACAAAGACGAAGGAGAAAAGGCTAAAGACGCGTCTAAGACAAGGAATCACCGTCAAACTTTAACCAATCGATTGCCTAGTTCCAGACCCACATTTAATGACGAGTTAATGCGTGAACTTTCAAAAGTTTCTTTAAATAAAGCTACAGCAGCTGCCCAAAGCTCACTCGCAGAATCAAAAGATGATGAAAATGACTACGAGAACATCGATTCGAAAACAGCCAATCAGCTCGCTAGTCTGAATCCCACCACAAACATAACTATACTTACCGTTAAATCTGAAACGGATTCTTTAATTTCCACCAATCACAAATCTCCGCGAGGAAATTCGAATGTTGCCAATACCATTTCTAGGAAAACGACATCTAAAAGCCTCGAAGAAACTTTTAAGAAGCCATCCACTCAGCTTGCTAGTTCCAGTACTTTGGACAACAAAGATCCGCGTCACAATTCGATTCCTGACGCTCCACGCGGTTCACTTACAAAATCGAAAGATGATTGTAATGACTATGAAAACGTAGATTCCAAAAAAGCCAATCAGCTCGCTAGTCTCAGACCAACCAAAAATAAAAGTACCGTTACCGTTAGACCAGGAGTTGATCCTTCAATTTCCACCAACGACAAATCTGCTGAAGATAATTCAAATGTAGCAAACATTGCATCTACAAAAGCAATATCAAAAGCCCCGATGAAACTTTCCCGAAACCACCCAATCAACTTGCTAGTTCCAGTACTAACGATGATGCACGTCACGATTCGATTCCAAAAGATCTAGCATCGCTAAGCGTGCAAGGCCTTGGCCAACTTTTAAATGCTTTAAACATGTCTTGTTACGTTGAAACATTTCGTCACGAGCAAATCGATGGTGAGATTTTAAAAGACCTAGATACGACAACATTGATGTCCTTAAACATGACTCCTTTTCATGCTTTAAAATTGTTGAAGGTCGTCAAAGGTTGGCGTCCTAATTTTTAAGATAAATCGTAAACATCGAATTAAATTTCTCGTTATATTTAATTTGGAGACTTTTTGACCGCGAGATTGACCTTTGCGTTACGTAACAATCGTGTTGTTTTGTCTATGTGACATTTAATGTTTGCAAAACAATATCTCCTAAAAACTGTTTTATTTTTCATAGCAAGCAAAAGTATACTATATTTTGTATATTTCAGCAGAATTCTCACTGTTTTCCAGTCCTCTGCATCGTCCTCATTTCGGCTTTATTTACTATTTAGCATTATTCATTCTTTATTACCCATTTTTGACGGCTAACGAATCGACTACTTAGTAATGTATAAAATGACGACCTGTAATCCGAACTTTTCCTAGTCTCTGTTCAATAAACATAATATGGATCTTATAGATTTTAGAGAAAGGTAAAAATAATGTCAAAGATGATGTGCATCTAGTGGCCTCGTGAGTTTCCCCACGTCTTTAGCGCGTGGACTCGACATTCGTTAAAAATACAGTACTAATCTCTTACAGTCCCGTGTGGAAACTAAAAATGACGAAGATGGCTTGTTCACCTTGAACAGTATAATAGGCACTCCTCTCTCACACCCTCCAATTCACAGAGAAACATATCACATTTTAGTAAAGTAATACGAAAATAGTCCTAAAGAGCGCTATCGAGCGCTTTCTATTCTTATTGCCATAATTTTTCAACACATAAACGAGACCCGTTTCAGGCCCGGTTCAAACGTCGCATTTTACATGCGCCGAATCAAATCTGAGTTTTAGTCGACTAAAATAGTTTTATGCGTAGTTTGATTCAGACGTCGAATTTAATAGTCGCATTTATTATAGTTATGCTTCCACTTTTTCATAGTTTATTCATTTTCTTGTACTAATTTCCTAAAATGGCGAACAGGAAAATGTTGAGTTTATGCATTTCAAACATGATTCGTGTTAATAGGAAAAGACAAATATTGATGCATGTTACAGTAAATAAACTATTAGAAACGAGACGGCAACTTCTGCAAATTTCCCATGTTTTTCTACCGTTAATTGGTCAAAAAAATGCCTTCATACGTAGCCCTCCTTATCGATCATGTCGAAGACAAGATAGAAATTCCGGCTGGTGGAAGAAAGTTTGGAGTATTTATTCTGATTCAAAAAACATTTCGTGTATCTCGAGGAAACTTTCCTTGTACATATAAATTTTTTGCACTTTAAACAAGTGTATTTTGTTAAACTTGTGCACGAAATACAAGGGCCATTACCATCACTCGCCGCCACCATGTTTTTACAACTTTGCGCATGGCATTTAGCATGGAAATAATTTATTTTTGCTTAGAAATATCTTAAAATAAATTATGCATTAAATTCGGCTCATGTAAAATGCGACGTTTGAATCAACATCGAATTTCCGTCGAATATTCGACTAACTCAGTCGAATATTCGACTAAAGTCGCATTAAATTAAAATCCGTCGAATTTAATTGATTCAAACGTCGCATTTTACATGCACATAATTCTCGCATTTGATTCGGCGCATGTAAAATGCGACGTTTGAACTGGGCCTCAAACGTCAAACTTTTTCAAAAGAAAGCCATAAAGACCAAAGAAAGCAAGTTTAGATTCATTATATATTTTCTTTGTTTTCAAATTGTTCGGCACATGAAAAGTTCGACCTTTTGAAACGGACCTGAAAGATTACACGTCAACACATGGGAAATAAGTTGACGGAGTTCCTCGTTGTGACCCTGACATTGCTTGCCGTTGCACACCGTGCTTTCCTTGTGTCATGGCATATCAAATGACAAACATCAAACCATTCTTCTGCAAAGTTCCTTTCCTAACGCGGGTCATAAAGCTTCCTTCCCCAAACTGAAGAGGACGAGGGAACGAGTACACGGTGGTTTCTGGAAGGACGAAATGGATCCTTACAATGCTATCACAGTTCTGGCACCGGTGCTTATATTTTATCCTCTCCTGATCGTATTCGCGTTCCCCTCACGCTTCTTGCCATGATGTACGCGACCGTTTTATTTCTGCATGTTTACAAACACCGACGACGAGAGATTTACGATGCCTACTCTGAAAACTTTTGGGACGGTGCAAAACAAACCGTCGCCTCTGTATTTGATGCTCAAGCTACGAATTGGAATGGTAAGTTTGTTTAAGCTTTAGCGCATGTGACAATTTTTCAATAAGAGAAAATGAGGGCGATTTGTCACCTTGACTGATAGGAGATTAGAGGCACTCCTTTTTTACACCTACAATTAACCCCCCCAAAATAGCGTTCTACAGTTTTGTTGCAGTTAATGTGTTATGACAGATGACAACTGCTTATCACAAATATTCATAGCAATTCTAGAAGGAACCCTTCTTCTATAAGGATAACTTCTGTCACAAACCTAACACTACATGATTAGCAGAACTAGATTAAGTACATTACTTCTGCTATACTGTAGTGGCCGCTCGTTCAGTAGTTTTTGGTATAAATCTATCAAAAACACTCTATAAGATAACTTTTAACAAGACAATAACTATCTTCTTTGTCACAAAGACTTAGTTGTGGTGACAAACCAGTATACTGTCTTGAAGAGCTCATTAGGTATGGTGAACGACAAGTTTAACCTAGATGGTTCTGAAAAGAACTGTTAAAATTTAAATTAAGAGCTATTCAGCGAAAGAATGCAGTTTACAGTTTAAAGTGACAACTTTACAGTTTAAAAAAACATAATTTCTGCGCTTTGGAGTGACGTCATTATTTCTTGTTTTGGTTATAAATATCAGAACATTCTTCGTTTTTGGTAAAACAGATGTAAGCACAAATTTAGAAGTGATATCAGCAATTTAATTATTTTCAGCATTTTCATGCATCGTCTCGTTTAGTTTGTCTTTATTTCATGTTTAATTCTTCATTTCAGAGCTATGCTAAGGTTATAGCATTTAACTTTTCTAAAGTACATGAAACGCTACCTGTGGTAGAAAAGCCTGATAAATTTTTGAAGCCAAATTTTACACCCAGACACGCGTGTGTTTCGATCAATTTTCAATCCGCGAGAGAATCTTGAAACATTACACACGCGTGTCTGGGTGTAATCTTTCATGTCTGAGTGCAATATTTGGCTTCAATTATTTTGCTTCAGATAGCGTTCCATGTATTTTTGTTCAATGGTTTATAATTGTCATAACTATAAAAAATAGCTCTTCAAAGCTGTTTTATCTCATTATGTAATTCAACCAAATGCAATACATTCCTTATGTGTACAAAAACTCCTTTGAATGGTCAAGCTCGCTTTACTTATTTTTTCAATATTTCTTTCCAAGAATATGAAGTCATTGGCTTGGACAAAATCCCGGACAAAGGAGCTGCATTATTGGTTTATTATCACGGTGCTTTGCCTATAGACATGTATTATATTATAGCTAAAATGCTGTTGTATAAGAAACGTTCGTTGAAAAATGTCGTAGCAACCTTTCTCTTCAGATTACCAGGTATAAACATGCTGCATCGTTTTGTATTTTCGCGCATGCGTACTGCCCGGATCCATCGTACGGTAAAGGAATGAAATTCTTTCAGATTCACCGCACTCAATGTTAAAAACAATAAAACGCTTGTTTTGATTGGTCTATACAGTAAAGTTTGCATTAGATCCGACCTGAGCTCAACCACTGGAGCTCAGTTGACGAAATCAAATAATAAGAATTTGCAAATCAATCATTAATACATGTTATAGGAAAATTAAAACAGTTGTTTTAAATTTACCAGTTCTGCAGTAATGCTCTTTTGAAAAAGAAATAAAAGATATTTTCCGTGTTTGCACAGGCTTATGCAAATCACGGAAATATTTGTGAGAACTCTTTATTCTTCCCAAAGGTATCATCAGTTTCTATATGCCTGTGCAAGCACAAGACAAAATCTTTTATTTCTTGCATCTCTTCCATAAAGCGGATATGTATCAAAGCGAGATCGTGACTAAAACACCACACGAGTACATACGAGTACATACGAGTAACATACGAGTACATACGAGTGACATACGAGTACATACGAACAACATACAAGTACATACTAGTAACATACGAGTACATACGAGTGACATACGACTATTTTCTGGTCAACAAATGAGAAACAACCATTGAGTTCTATAATAACTGGAGCGGCTATCTCAAGCGCGGCCTTAGATATCTAATGATGCCAAAAAAATGGCGGATTTCGTCCTTTGCCGCTGAGATTTACCGAAATTGACCGCTTTTCCAAAAATTTCACAATTTCCCACTCCCTCCTGAGAAAAGAGTGAGGAAAATGTATGTGTGTATTTGGGATTCGGCAAGCAATTTTTTGATGAAAATCAAGGTAAAAACCTTAAATTCATAACAGCAAGTCAACTGTGGTTGTCAGTTATCTACTCCTACGAGGATGCATTTATAACTATCGACGAAAGAGTTATATATCGGCTACACATGTATGGATGCAGATGTGCGTCGTTTTCTTACCAGCGTCAAACTTGTTTGATCGATTCAACTCTTTAGTCTATACAAAAAAAGTATATCAGTGTTCATCTCCACGGTTCACGAGAGAGAAGTTAGCTTATTTTTTATCATTGCTATTTTGCTTCTTTTCATGCAATGGGCAATGGCTTTTTTCGCCACAATTGTAGGATTTTTACTTGTTTCTTTAAAAAAGTACATATTAAATCTCTGGATATTTACGGATTTTCTGTAATTGAGTTTCACATGAAATTTCAAAAAGACTCAAGTCTGCATAGGTTTGGTAAATGAAAACAAACAATATTGTATAGAAATTACTTTAAGTAACCTTTTTGTGATGTTCTGAAGTGCAACTGCATCAAATACTTGTGAAGTTGTAGCACATTTTGATTTTGTTGTATTGATATATGAATTGGGCAAAATGCAAATAATCATCAAAACACTTATGCTTCCAATGGTGTTTATAATTCATTTGTAGTTTTAATACTTCTACCTTCCTTTTTCACTCTGTTTTGTTTTTCCTTTATTGGCAATAAAGTGCACTATAATTTGAATAATTAACACAGTTTTCACCTCAATAATAAATTTCATAAGCAGTTGGTAGTGCATTTTGTTCTCTGAGTATGACAGAAAAGTATGCAGAATTTTATAAACAAAAACAGGAAAACATCAGTATATTTGGCGTTCAAGTCAGTCTTAAAAAATACGATCTTTAATATGTATTTTATGGCTTTTCAAGTGCATGTATAATTGATTTTCAATCGTTGACGGACTAACAAAACAAACAACTACCTCACCTGTGAGAAGCGATATGTTCCTTTTTGTGGAAACTACGACATCCAATAATTGAACGATTGAAGTGTTGGCATTATAAAAGAAATGCCAAAAAAGAATCGTCACAGAATATGGAACTAACGATATCCATATTCTGTGATATCGTGTTTTTTTTTTGAAAAATTCTTTACAATTTACTATAAAAAACCAGGGGGAAGTCGAGAATATTATTTTTCTGCAAAGCGATCATTTCAGCGAAAATACGTCCTTTGGCCGCATTTCCGTTATAGTTATTATAGAACTCAATGGAAACAACACAATTTCTTCAATACATTGATATTTACGTTTATTTTTCCTTGTATTTGTGTGGACTTTAGGGCAACCATTTGATGGATTTAAATGCTGAAAAGGTATTTTACTTTCATACGACATTCATTTGTATGTTTTAGTTGAATTTGTTATAGATATGTTGTCGATGCGATTTGCCAGTATTTGAGCGCTTTTTGACACATGTAAACGTTTTACGTAAATGTTGATATTCAAGAAATAGCGTAAGATTTATTGTTTATAGCTATAGTTTAATTCAGTTTAAATATGGTAATATTTTTTTGGAAAAAAGTTCATTTTCATCGTTGATTTTATTTTAAAAAGTGTAGGAAGTAAAAATTGCAAAACAGATCGGAGTGAGTATTTACAATGGCAAAACAGTTAACTATACTTAGCCATTCGGTGAAATTCGTGCATTTTGGATCCTTATCTATAAAGTAAATGGTTTGAACCCGGGAGTATCGTTACATGTTTGTAAATGTAGATCGTCCAGGTTGGTATAGTCCTGAGAAGGACTGTTTTTGTTGTTGTTGACTGACGTTTCGACAACCTTAGCGGTAGTCATCTTTAGAGTCAAAATGAATGTATAATCGCTTTCATAAATATGTATTTCCTAGGTGAAAGTGTGTCAAAAAGCGCTCAAATACTGGCAAATCGCATCGACAAAATATCTATAACAAATTCAACTAAAACATACAAATGAATATAGCATGAAAGTAAAATACCTTTTCAGCATTTAAATCCATCAAATGGTTGCCCCAAAGTCCACACAAATACAAGGAAAAATAAACGCAAATATCAATGTATTGAAGAAATTGTGTTGTTTCTCATTTGACCAGAAAATAGTCGTATGTCACTCGTATGTACTCGTATGTCACTCGTATGTACTCGTATGTCACTCGTATGTACTTGTATGTTACTCGTATGTACTCGTATGTCACTCGTATGTACTCGTATGTTACTTGTATGTACTCGTATGTACTCGTATGTACTCGTGTGGTGTTTTAGTCACGATCATCTATATTCAACGAAGCTTTAAAGTATGGAGGATAATTGTGTTCAACTATTTTCATGTAGCAAATACACTGCAAATCATATACTTTTTGTCTTTAATAGTTAATACGTCAAACGTTGCAAAAGGAACGTAAATGCATGAAGCTAAAATGCTCCATATTAGTGTTTGGGCCAGTTTATACTCCGATGATTCGGTCATGTTAAATACGGTAGTCGTTGAAATAAAGTATTTTTTGATTTCGTCTACAGTTGTAATCACTTTTGTAGGTTTCGATTTCTTTTTTTAAATACAATGTTCTGCTTTCATTTCCTTTACATGGGATAACCTAATTAAATATTTCGAAATTGTTGGTGTCGTTCTTTTTGATGATTCGCTACAACCAATTAATGCTGTTTTTGTTAATTTAAATACCAACGCACGAGATTACTTTGAAACCAGAAACGTCAAACAAACCGTGGACGTTGTTCGTATCAAGCGAGATCACAAAATCTGGTCTAGCATTTGACGAATGATTAAACAAACAATTGCTGATCTAGTGTTCATATTTACCCATGCTATGTAACTGTGTTCCTGACTGCGAGCATAATGGTTTATTATTTGAAACTTACTGAAAAGGATTAAAATTTACACGCTGGCCATTCAAATGTAAACAAGGTTACATTAAACAGAAAGTGTATTTCACAGCTAAGCGTGGTTAGATTGTATTGTAATATGTGTTTCCGGTCATTCTTGAAACAGTTTTCTCGTGTTTGGTCTTCTAGCCGAGGATAATTAATGTAACAGGAGCTTTATATTGCTAGGATTTGATTACGGCATTCAAATTTCTGAAGACAAGTCATGCACTAAGCATGAAATTTGACTTTATGACATACCTACAAATGTTAATCTTATTTGATCGCTATACACTCATAAAGAGGAACAACAGGCTTATTTACTTACCCTCTAAGATGTAGAACACCTTATTTCTATCCTCAAACTGTCAGAGATTCATCCTATTTGTGCCTGCCAGGTAAATTCTTTGATAATAACTATGACTGGTGATCACCGCCAAAATTAAAACATGGCATTCGGCAATGCGAACATGACATTCGGCAATGCCAACATGGCATTCGGAAATGCCAACATGACATTTGGCAATGCCAACATGACATTCGGTAATGCGAACATGACATTCGGCAATGCGAACATGAGCCATATGAACACACGGTGATTATGTACAGCAGATATGCGTAACATGAGTAATGCGAACACAAAGTTCTTTGTGTCAGCTGTAATGGAGAAAGAACGATAAGATGCTACTTCATGTCCTGATTAAGAATAAAAATAAGTTGACGATAAAAATTGGAAACTTGGCTTCAAACACTATTGTAATACTTATTTTTCAGCTTTTCTGGTTGTTTTAGTGTCATTTAATTGCTCTAATTTTGTTGAATTTGACATTTTTGAAAATTTATTTGGCTATGGACATCCGCAATGCCTGCCCACCCGGATGAATATATTAATACAAATAGTTATAATTGGAAACTCGGAATCATTTTTATGAAATGGTAAGTTTGTATTTGTTAAATTAGCATTTGAAAATAATACAATTGATTAATACCATATTTATGTAATGTTTCATCTTTTACAGTGTTTTGTTCGGACTAAAATTTTACGTTTCTATTGAACAGGAAGATACTAGAAAGATAGTCGTTAATCATTTACAACAGTCTATGCGGAAAATTGAGCACATCTTAGAAAACAATTCTGAAGAGCTCCCGGACTACGATTGCTTATCGTTTAGAGTTGATTATCTTCGACATGTTTTAAATTATTGTTCTGATACAATAAGTATACCTGCTCAAGTTCATCAGTACTTAAGCATGGTTTTTGAAATACTGAAATCATTTGAAGATGGTGACAATGGTGAATATGTTGCACCAACTGTGAAAACTGGTGGGCGTGGACGCCCAGCATACTATATCACAAAGGATCAACTTCATTTTTTGATCTCATCAGGGTTCAATGTACCACAGATTGCGTCATTACTAAATGTTGGAAAACGAACTATAGAAAGAAGGCTTCACGAGTTCAACATTTCTTTGAACACTACATTTTCCTTAATAAGTAATGATGATTTAGACGCTGTTGTTAGAGATATTCTCAATGAATTTCCAAATGTGGGTAGCATACGACTTCAAGGTTTCCTAAGAGCAAGAGGATATAACATACAACATCAGCGTGTTAGAGTAGCACTGCGAAGAGTAGATCCTGAAGGTGTTTTATTACGAGCTATCGAATTGAATGTCATTAAAAGGAAACCGTATAATGTGAAGTCTCCTTTATCACTGTGGCACATCGATGGTTATCACAAACTGATCAGGTAAGAAATTAGTTATTAACACTCATACATTTAAGTATGTGATATTTTTAATGGTTTCTTTTAGGTGGAGATTTGTGATTCATGGAGGCATTGATGGATTTTCGAGAAAAATCGTTTACCTGGAATGCCATACAAATAATTATGCAAACACAGTTTTGAATGCGTTTCTTTCTGCTGTCCTTCATCATGGACTTCCTTCGCGCGTTAGATCTGATAAAGGAGGAGAGAATGTAGCTGTTCGCAATATTTACTGGAACATACTGAACGAGGAAGTGGAAGGGGGAGTATGATCACTGGAAAGAGTGTGCACAACCAGAGAATAGAACGTCTTTGGAGAGATCTCTTTTCTGGCTGTGTCCATATGTATTATAATTTGTTTTATAGCCTAGAAAAGTCTGGTATACTAAATCCTGATGATGACATCGATTTGTTTTGCTTACACTATGTATATTTGCCAAGAATAGCGCAGTCTCTCAAAACCTTTACTGAAGGATCGAATTTTCATCCGATAAGTACAGAAAGTAATCTTACTCCAAATCAGCTATGGATAAGTGGTCTTCTTCAAATAGCTAACAGTAGTAACAGAATTGCTCGAGATCTTTGGCAAACAGATGTACGTATTTTGTGATTATGATAAGCTGAATATTATGTTAGTACAATATTCTCAGTTTCACACATAACGAGCCAATTTTCGATTTAGGTTAGCATACCCCCTTTAGGCATATGTTGCGCGTTTGACAATTTTTCTTGCACTAAGGGTGGGGAATTTGATCATTAAAAACGGAATGAGGCACGCCGGGAAGGATGTTACAGATATGTTAAATGGTGCATAAGTAACTATATATTTAGTGTTAACCACAGTAAACTTGCGTTTAACCTAGATCCGAAGCTGATTCCAGTTTGTTCACTCCTATGGAATAGAAAGCTTTACGTTTTTGTTGTATAGGAATTTTATGGAGTCGACTGGAATGGCCCAATCTCAAGTGACTCAAATAATGTCATACTTGATGTTCCTCAAACAATGAACCCGTTATCTGATGTGGAGTTCAGTACTTTGACGAATGTGGTTGATCCTCTTCATTCGAGTAGTACTCTTGGAACAGATGTCTTTATGCAGTGCAAGCAGTATGTTCATGACAGAACAGATCTTTTGCCAACTGATGTCAAACATTGCATGATGTTAACGGTCTCTATAACAAAACTATGAAGGGAAATACGCTATGCAACACAATTTGTTGTCGAGAAAAGTGTACTTTTTGTCGTTTTCCCCCATTTTTTTAAATACATATTTACGCTCTGCTCATTCTGCACTGTGACACAGAATGAAAACAAACTTCCTTTAGATATCATGATGTTAAATGCGTGATGCAGAGTTTTTTGGAGAAGCAAAGAGTAATCTACGAACCAAAAATTATATAATGTGTCATTTTTGTTAAATTTTTATGAAAAAAGGTTTAAGACCGGACACTTCAGGAATAAAAGTGCTTTCAATCGCCACTGAAGAAGAGGAAAAGATATGGTTTGAGACTGATACAATATTCACATACAGCTTATTTGTAAATTCTTGGCAGTGTAGTTTTAAAACTATATTTGCTTTTTCACAGAATAATCTAATAACTGTTATTACGTTGGACGGATATGCAATTTTTGCCTTTTGTTAACATTACATGGAAGACATGAAACTTTTAATGAAATCGTATCACTTGAGCAAAAAATCAAAAATTTCAACCGTGAGAAAAAAAAGCAACGACGGTACCTAATATATAACTGGAACAATTAAAACCTTAGCAAAATTCTAACAAACAAAATGGTCAATTTGAACTACCTTGAACCAGCAAATGAGCACGATCCATGGCGCAAACTTGCAAACATGATATTATTAAACTTTTCATAATCTTCATATATAATCGTAAGTTTTAAATGATTGAAGCAGCTGTCGGAGTCAACCATAGTGAGATCTTCCTTGCCAAAGAGCACTTTTATTTTTGTTTTCAAACCAAGTGGGGGGTACACTAAGGTTGGATGTGCAAAACTTAAGAAGAAGATTAAGAACAGAGATTAAGAACACGAATCGCATCGACAAAATATCTGTAACAAATTCAACTAAAACATACAAATGAATGTAGTATGAAAGTAAAATACCTTTTCAGCATTTAAATCCATCAAATGGTTGCCCCAAAGTCCACACAAATACAAGGAAAAACAAACGCAAATATCAATGTATTGAAGAAATTGTGTTGTTTCTCATTTGTTGACCAGAAAATAGTCGTATGTCACTCGTATGTACTCGTATGTTACTCGTATGTACTTGTATGTTACTCGTATGTACTCGTATGTCACTCGTATGTTACTCGTATGTACTCGTATGTACTCGTATGTACTCGTGTGGTGTTTTAGTCACGATCTAGTTTAGACATGCCATAAGAGACAAGTTGTCAAAATTGCTTCAATGGATTTTCTTTCAAATTGTTCTTAAACAGGATGAGATAGAAGTGAACTTGTTCTTTGACCATGAATAGATACTTTAAACACAAATCTCACAGCTCGAGGACCTTATCGTGGGAGCGCGACTTCGTCAAACAAGAAGTGATAGTTCCGCCAAGCAGATGCTCGTCGACCAGCCACTTGAGCGCTAAAACTTTATTACAAAAAGACACGTGACAGACAATCCGCTTACCAGAGCTCGGCATAACTAAATAAATAGAATTGTTCTTCAAGGTTATCTTGAACCTCGATCATCCATCCAAATTGCCGAACTTTTTGGTTGTAACATCATGGATGCATCTACATTGGCTGAAAATCTAACTTGGTCTCAATCAGCGCTTACGATTCGGGAATTTCTTGATGAGTTCGGTATTCCGAATGTGGTTCGCTTGCGGAATAGCCAAGATGATTATGGCCATAGCAGTTCCTCTAAAGAGGTACTCTTGCTAAATAAGCGCTTTACGAAACAATATTTCACCAGCAAGGACTCAAACGGTAAATCGATTTTAATTCCTCAAGATTGTCAAAAGATGTTACTTCTTCGTCCATTACCAGAGCAGTGTCAGTATGACGAACTGTTGGTAGAGCAGTTACCATACGTGTCTCCGCAAGTGAAATATCTTCGAGTTTTAAATACTGGAGCTGAAGGATCCGTTTCCCGGTGTTTTAAGCCAGAATCCATCGTTGAAATCGAATTCGTGGATGCCGGAAAATCGTTGGTAAAATTCAAGGACATCGATAAACCGTTATTGTTTGGCTCATGCTTGGCTTTTCAACCTCTGTTGGATTTCAGAGAATATCTCATTGAAGATGCCGTAAGAAAATTTGGCTTGCCTTTAGCGGTACGTAAGACGTTCAATAGTTTGTCAGCAGTTGGGGTAGGGGAGTAAGAAACTGTTGATGTTTGTTTCGTTTTGATGAATAAACAAAAAATAAGATGTTTTTGTATGGATAAGTTCTCTCGGCTAATATTTATGCGGTCAAGCTTTTCATTGCTCTCTTGCAGACATTGTCGGGACGTAATGCCAGGCCTTCGTAAATACTGTTTACAATAATCTATGATATTGCTTATAGCATAGTTCGCTTTCAAAATATTCAAGATGCTTCACAAACAAAGGAACGCTTTTCGGAGTGCAAATGTGACGCCTTGAAGGTGATGATTTACATGAAAGTCGCAGCAAAATGTTCAGTTATTCAAACGTGTTGTTCTAAACGAGAATTTTCACCTAAAAGTTCGAACATAGAGCTTCCAAAGCTTTGACAAATTTATTTTCAAGTTATTTTTGTAGACAGTTAATTACGGTGGCCCGTATGTGCAATACACGAATAAATATATGAGCGCACTAACTAAAGTTGAAATGCATAAATAAATTTTTCAGTACAAAATTCAAAATATATTCTCGCATAAAGAAGTTTAAATGCACGAGAAAATTGGAAAATACACAACTAAATATTTCACAATATACCAACTCCTTTTATATAAACATTAACATAAATACTTTATGCACAAATATATTGTTCTCAATACATAACAAAATGTCGCATCTGTGAACATCAACGATCATAAGGGAACACTTTACGAATAGTCCTGTTACTGCCATTTATCAATAAAACGATTGCAAAACGAAGAAACTACTTAGATTAATTACAGTTACAGCGTATAATGCAGCGTTTTCGAGCGCATTTTATTTTGGAGAATGAATAGTCAGAGTCGCGCTGAAAATCTATCTTGCGAAGAGATTATAGAGCGTTACTTTAAACAAGGCTTTGATTACCAAAAGATACTTTGTTTTTTGTCTCAATACCATGGCATCAGAATTTCTTTGAGAACCTTAAATACAAAACTTCGCTATCTTGGGCTTAAACGAAAGAACATTGACTATAACTTAGACAGGGGCGGATCTAGAGTATGTCAAATCCGTCGCGCGACTGATGTTTGAAATTCAAAAATTACGAATTCATATTAATTAAAAATTCATTAATTATTCTTACTTTATTATCGCATTTACTTCGTGATAAAAATCCAGCTTTATTTATTATTGAAAACTAATGACTAATCCAATGAATATCTCGTTGGTAACCAGATCAGTTGAATTTTAATTGACCTGGAATAACCGACTGATAAGCGGGGTGGCTTGACTGGTTCAACTGATAAAGGAGTCTATGAACGCCAAAAACGCTTATTTCATTGGTCAATAGCCAGATCAGTGGACGATCTGGAATAATCTCGACCGATAAGCGGGTGGCCGGACCTATAAGGGAGTCCACTTGCTATCGTGTAATTGGTTCGTTTAAATTTTTGTCTTACTGTGATTGGTTTGACCGATTTCGACTGATAGCCAACTGAACTAACATAGTCAAGCTAACTAAATTAAATAAAGATATGATCTTCGCACTTTGCTGGACAATTTAAGCAATCGTCTCAGGACCTGAAAAAATCAGGTGACTCAACAGGATTCGAACCCATGACCTCTGCGGTGCCGGTGCAGTGCTCTGACCAACTGAGCTATGAAGTCACACAGTGGTGAGCAGGTCAATATTGTTGGGCTGATGTTTTCTCGTGAAAGGAATGTCGTATGAATATTATATGCAGTGCGGTGTTTGAAATTAAATGAAGATATGATCTTCGCACTTTGCTGGACAATTTAAGCAATCGTCTCAGGACCTGAAAAAATCAGGTGACTCAACGGGATTCGAACCCATGACCTCTCCAGCCCAACAATATTGACCTGCTCACCACTGTGTGACTTCATAGCTCCGTTGGTCAGAGCACTGCACCGGCACCGCAGAGGTCATGGGTTCGAATCCCGTTGAGTCACCTGATTTTTTCAGGTCCTGAGACGATTGCTTAAATTGTCCGGCAAAGTGCGAAGATCATATCTTCATTTAATTTCAAACACCGCACTGCATATAATATTCATAGTCAAGCTAACTGTCTGAATTGAATGTTTGATCGTTTCATAGTAATTTTCTAAAGCATGATAGAAACTAAACTACAATCAGATGGAATTTGTGGAAATCTTTTACAAATTCATATATTGACATGAATGCTGCTGTCCAAACTGGGAATTTTTTCAAGAGGGTGAAAAATTTATGGATGAATTGTAAATGCTTGGCAAAGACGATCTCGCGAGCGACATTTCAGTCATTGATGTTCAAATCAAGCCAACATTGTTTAGAGTTTTATCAGCAGAAATTTACATCCAAAATCGTAAGTAAAGGACAACTGAAGTGTATGCATGAATGTAATATATCAAAGTCAATTTATGCGAGTGTGTGATGCGATTTATGTTAATATGGCGTATGGTAAGCAGATTGATGCTTCTAAAATTGTTGTTGCCGAAGGACTTCTAGCTATGATTTCTTTAGTGCTTGGGGAATCGTGGCCGTTATATGGCAGCGAAATCCTACATTCCTGCAAATATATTTCAATGGACAAAAAATCTGTAGCCATAAGGCGCCATACTATTATTTACTTTATCATAAATGTTTGGGCTTTTCAGTTTATGATCATTGATAATTCAATCATTGGACAGTTATACTACATATTGTTTAAGATTTGAGAAAACTAACATTGATTACATGAGAAGCTGTTTACTATAACCTGTGATTTTGAGTCTTCTGATCCATGAAGCTTTTCATTTTGACAATTTGACTGGAATGGTATTAAGGTTATTTCAGATTTACATTTAAACGAGCTTTGATCATATGAAAAGATATTTATCATAACCAGTAAGCATGACACATGAACCAATTTTAACATTCATGTAATTATATAATTAATGACATGTTGGTTACATTCTGTTTGTATTTGATAATACAATGCTACTAGTGATTGCTATATAGCACACCTTGCAGAAGATAATAGTCTAGTGAAATGCCTAATAAACATTTATGGCATTAAGCTGTCTTTAACTGCAAATTTTCACTCTGATAATTTTTGCTTAATCTTTGGTAGAAAAAAATTTTGAGTTTTTTCTCAAAAAGTGAATTTGCTGGCAATGATGTGGAGATGGGTAAAGGGTTACAATAAACTTGCATGGTTTGAAGTCTGAACTTTTTTTTCTATATCTATGAACTGTCACTTGTAGTACCAAATTTCTAACTTAACTCATTACATAGAGGTTTGAATGGGGGTCTCTAGGGGGGTCTATGCCTGACAACTTGGTAGAAATTTTTAAAGACTATATCTGTTTTTGAATACCATTATTGTAAAATAAATTTTACCTTCCTAGACATGCTAATGAGCCATATATTTGGCTAATAATGAGCCTAAATATTTGGCAAAACATTCAAGTATTGTTGACTTCATTTTTTTTTTGAAAAAAACGTAAGCAAAATGTGTTGTTTTTACGCAAAAACGATGCCCATAAAATACATTTTGCATTGCTCTAAAACGCTGAAAATAGCATTTTCAAGGCTCTGAAATTCAAAATTTCTCCGGGGAGAATGCCTCAGACCCCCCCAGTTGCAGAGTGCCTTCGACGTTTTATGACTGATGTTTGAAAAATCCTAGATCCGCCCCTGAACTTAGATAATGTTAAAACTCGTATTCAGCAAGAGCTTGACGATCCTGGCTGTTCTGGCGGTTATCGCGCGGTTTGGCATACACTGCAAATTGAAGGTATGCAGGTTCCACGAGATGTCGTTAGAGTTATCCTAAAGGAACTTGATCCTCAAGGTGTACAACAAAGAAAGTCCAAAACTCTTCGTCGTCGAATTTATCACACCCCATGCCCAAACTATACATGGCACGTGGATGGATATGATAAATTAAAACCTTATGGTTTTCCAGTTCGTGGGTGCATTGATGGCTACAGCCGCAAGGTCCTGTGGTTTAAGGTCTGCAGAACTAACAATGATCCTGCAGTAATTGGACACTTTTTTTTAAATGCTGTGAAGGAGTTTGGAGGTTGTCCCACTGTACTTAGAACCGACAATGGAACTGAAAATACAATTTTGGCTGCCATTCAATCTTATTTTCAATGTGATGGGGATGATGAATTTGCTGGTGAGAAATCACACAGGTATGGCACTTCACCCTCTAATCAGCGTATTGAATGCTGGTGGTCCTACTTGCGCAAGAATCGTTCCAGTTGGTGGATGAATTTTTTTAAAGACCTTGTTGAAATTGGTCAACTTTGCCTATCAAATCAATTGCAGAAAAAGTGTCTGTGGTTCTGCTTCAGTGAACTTGTTCAGTCAGATTTTACATCAGTCCAACTACACTGGAACACACATTACATACGGAAGTCTAGGTTTGAAACTGTTGCTGGACGACCAGATGAAATGTTCTTTTTGCCAGAATGCACAGGTGTTCAAAATCATATTAAGTGTATTTCTGATGAAAAATTTCATGATATGTCAGAATATTGTAATTGATATATAGAGGAAAGCCTTTATCAGGAATACTTTGCAGAGATTGCACAACAACTCAGCTTTGCCAAACCAACCAAATTTCCATGCACATTCCTTCCACAAGTTGTCAAGTTCCACTTGGGATTTTGCTGAATTTAACTAAGAGTAAAATAAAGAAAGTGTTCAATGTGTTTGATAAACATTTAACTTTGATGGAATGAAATAGCTGATTAAAAATGTCCTAATTCTTTGTCGACACATAATTACACACCTCCTTTAGAGATGTTCGAATGTTGCTATTTGGAACTTCATCAACAATGGGAAATGCCTCATCAAACCCACCCTGAATATATTGACATACACCAGGGCCAAAGATTTGTGGTAACTCTCCTCCCTGTACAATCATAGTTGCCAACATCTTTCCAACCACAGCAAATGCACCACTTTGCAATGCCTTGAAATTAGCTCTTATAACATGGCCTTCTGGTGTATCTAAATCAAAAAATCTTGCTATCTAGTTAAGTTAATCATAAGTTGAATAATACAAAATATGCATAAAATTGCAAACAATGATGCATAAAATTTATGTTTAAATTTTGGCTATGGTAACAAAGCAGTTATGTACAACATACACACTGACAATTATATATGCCTGATGAATAAAAATTGTAAGCAATTCTTATGACGCACTTAACAAGGTGCCACTTTCTTTAGATATTGCACCAAGGAGCAGATGAAAAAACTCACGACGAGGACCACCATTATCGATAGCATCCTCTTGCTTCTCAAATGAAATGAAAGTGACACACAGGAAACTATACTTCTCCAGGAATTTTTTCCTTTCAAAATAAGGTTTTGCTGTATCCCACATGTTTAACCGGCTTACTACCACACTACGAGGTTCCCCATGAACAACTGCAGCTGAATGCTCCTTTATCAACCTAATAGCATGTTCATAGTCCAGGCCAACAGATTGATCATTCAGTGACACTATATCCTCATTACTTCCAAGTTGTTGGATGCTTTCATTTATAGCTTTTTGGACAGCCATGTTCTCATCTAAACCAACAGGCCTACAATAGAAATTTGGTTGAAACAAAAGTGAATTACTGAAAACATTACAAACTCAAACTAACATAAAAGGACAAGTACTCACAAGAAATCAGCAACTTCAAACAGTGGAACGGAATGATTACATTCAGCTTTGTTCAGATTAATCGATGGTTGATCAACATTTTCACTAGATTTGCCAATTACATTATTTGATGATGGTACATTGTTGCAGTCAATCCAGTCATCATCAGAATCACAGCCCATAGCTCTCTCTATCGCACGAATCTCATTTTCTTCATCACTTAACCAATTTGTAATAGGTAGCATACTGGTCTCTTTCTTTTAAGTTGCTGGACAAAGATACAGAGTAATTCGGCTATAGCTTTTAGCAAGGCCTTTCTTGTATTTTCTCAAAGTGAACTCTTCACAGCTGCCAGGTATCTTTTTAGCTATTTTTCCATCAGGAAAAACCAATACGTAACCCCAGTCTCGGCTGAAGCTTCTGTCATAGTCTTCCCACTTCTTCACTGATCTTTACCTTACTTCGTCATAGCTCATGTCTTTGGTCAACTTCACAGGAAAAGATTTGCCACGTTGTACTTTCGCCTCACCATACTCGTATTCCATTAAACCAACGTTGATAATGACCTCATCTTTTGACTTGCGTGTCCCTTCTGCCTGTCGATTTCTTTTATTAGGTTTAAAATGGGACTGCCTCTCAATCTCTTTTTGTTTTTTAAAATCGGCGAACGTGGCTGCTATTTATGGCGTCCCACTCGTGAATTGATTATTAGTACTGGAAGTAGAAGCTGAGCGATCTATCTCGGCGTCGGCACCACTTGTTTCACTTTTTTTTCGCCCACATGACGGGCAGTAGACAAAGCTGTCTTCTAATTTATGCCCACAAAAGCAACAATACATTTTGCGTGATTTTGTGGCGTCTGAAAGGAGTTAGCATGCAAGTTTGTCGGAAATGAGAATATCACTCAATGGAGAATACCCAGTGAACTCTACAGCAACTGAAAGGCTAACTCATTATAAAAAACCTAGACTTGTTTGATGCCAAATGGAAGCTGATTTGCCGCTTCGCGTGTATCTCGCGTGGACTGTTTTATTTGCGTGACGGATTGTTTTGCAAAAACTGCTAACTTGGGAATAGAATGCTAGCCTAAATGCTTTATTTTTTTCAAAACCGTTAGCAAAATTTTGTTATTAATGTGTTAAGATGCATTGTGGACGTTCCAAGACATGTTTTGTATACGTAACGCTGTATTATATAAAACATAAAAGGGAGAACACACTTCGAAATATGAATTTCTCATTTGTCGTCGAAAGACCAAAAATTTAAGATAAAACTGATAACAGGTAGTCTGTATCTTTGAATGCTGTGCAGAATACACACAATCCACTTAATATAACATGTTTCATAACAATTTTATTGCTTTCAAAGTTAGACTTGCTTTGTAAGAATTTCACATGCTCTTTTTGTAATGTGTGAAAGTGATGATTTGAAATTTTGAATTGTGGGTGATTGTTGGTTCTTGTCATTTACTTCTCCCACTTCTTAAGAACTGGTGGAAGATTTGACATGCATTCATATTTGTGTATTGAGCATTTTATCAGCAAGTTCATGCTTATAAATAAATAGCCAAGTGCACACTATGACAAGTATTGCTAATATAACCTGCTCTACATAAATGTCAAAAAGCAACCCTCATCCTCAGTGGTTTGAAACAGGTTTTTAAAATGATTATAAAGCAAGCAAAGCTATATCATATATCAAAATTTTATAGTATATCATATTGATTGTAAAATTAGTTCTTCCTTGTAATACAGATGATGATAAATGTATATGTAATATATTAAATTTTAGGATGTGTGTTTAAAATGTTTGGTCATATTTGTGAAAATATATGATTTTATAATATTAGACTAATAATCTTTTTCATACTTGTATTACATTACAATTTTTACTTAAGTGTTTCAAAAGTTATGAATATGGAGTGTCAATTGTGTTTTTGTCTTTTTTTAAGTGAGTATTGACTCTTCAATGGTGCAATTAATGATAACAAAATAATATGGCATAACAGTTTTTTTTTAAAACTAACTCAAAATATTTTTTTGCTAACTTTTTGAAATATTTTGCAAAGTGTTTTTCTTTTTGTTTATGCTCTGAACTTTCAAAAAGGACTGGGGCGAGCTAATTTTGCTCAAAAACACTTAAATTACCGAAAAACAGCGTTTTTTCAATAACAGCTTCATTTTCAAAAATTCAAACAATATTTTAAGGATAGACAAGTGTATTTTACATCCTTTTCATGAAAAAAAAACGAGGGGTGTCAGTTTTGTATTCAAGTTATAAGGCATGTTTTCACGTGCCAAAACAAAGTTCGCTTTTCATCCTTCTAAAAAGAAGCTTAAACATGTACAAATGTCGTTCAAACTTGTTTTATATTAAAGTCCAAACATTGTTTAAGATTTTTAGACATTAAGCTGGCTCGAAGACCACTGTTTTTTGCAAAAAATCCGGCAATTTCGAAGTGATGTATTTCGCCTCCGTACCCTCAATGGCGGCGCTCATGCAGGCTTCAAAGATGGCGTCCAAGTTAGCCTTCCAGTTGTTATCATTGAGCTCTATAAGACCTGGAGGGGCAAAGGGGCCTGGACCCCGTGGTCAAAAACATGGCGGTAATGGCGGATTGGTTAGCACTATTTTCCACCCAGCAAACCGCCCTTTACTTTGAAATATAATATTTTAAACAATATAATATTTTACACAATCTAATATTTTACACAATATAATATTTTATATAATATTTTACACAATCGTCGAAAAACGACATATTTTCCAGCCTGGATTATAAGTTTATAACTTAAGGTGGTTGCATGAAAATTTATACTGCAACATTTATCTGTAAATATTTAAATATGTTGATATTAAAAACTGTATTATAAAAATATAAAATTACTCGCCATCTCAAAACGACCTAGCACCAGTGCATGCATGGTTTCCTTTTAGCTTTTGGTTCTTTCCCATTAGCCGCCATCTTTAATTTATTGACGATTGTGTGAAGTAAAGGGCGGTTTGCTGGGTGGAAAATAGTGCTAACCTGGCGGATTTTGGTTGTCAAAACTTCCACTTTGAGAAAAATTTTTAACATTCGCTCCCTCCTGAATCCAGATCTTTATTCCTGCTTGTATTAATGACAACCAGCGAAAACAACCACGATACCGTAAGCATAAAATATTGAAAATAATGCTTCAGGTTTTTGTAAAATAGACACACACATTTAAATGAGGTAAATCTACTGTAAAATAACATATATTTTGCCAAGTAATGCTTTAGCTATATTAGAAATAAATATCAAACGGCATTCTTTACACTGTCAATGTGTCTTTAAGCTTTAATGCATAATCCCATGCGCATTGCTTGTGTTTTTGACTGTTTGTTAACAGCTTGGTGCAACTGTCTTTCTTAAATAGATGAGTAAATCTTAGTTAAAATGTCCAAAAAGGAGTTAGAAAAAGTTAGCTTACCCCTACGACTTAAGTCGACTGGAAATATATTATAAGTAGGTATGTAATTTTTTTGAGTTTTTTGGTAGGATTGATACTGGGTGTCTTATAAGGTATTATGATATTCTGATAAATCTACTGAGAAATTATGAAGAAAATATCTTGAACTAGAAGAGCAAACGAACGAAATTCAGAAATACTATAATCATGTTGCTGGTTCTGTTTTGAGTGAAGATACTAGAATTTGGATTGTCATTGACAACCATGGATCTACTACCGAACAGAACTACATTAATTTCCCATTGAAAATACTATTTCTTAAATGAAAGTGCATTGGTTTCTCTGACACAACACTTTTCTTATTGCTGCATGAAGGCAAATCTGTTTAAATAATTAAAATGTAAGTGAAGATATTTAGCATGTTGTATAATTATTATTGTACAGCCATTATTTATAATATTATGGCCTTGTGTAATGTATGTCAAGAAGAACTTATTAATTCTCCAAAATGCTAACCTTCTTGTACTACTTTTCTCTTGTGTCCTTACAAATTACTATTACCTATACTACATTATGCCTTTGAATTTTTCTTTTCATTTTTTGGTAAAAACATCAGTGAATGACTAAAAATCAAGTTTATCTAAAATAGTATTTTGTACAAAGAAACTATACATAATTAGAAAAGTCTCATGTTGAAGACAGATGTCGCTTATTTTACTAGATTGCTACTCTTATTTTTTCAAATGATATCGTAATTCTTCAAAAGACATAAAAAGTTCTTTGCCATCAATTTTTGCTTCTTCCACATTCAACTTCATTGCAACCAATGCATCTTATGTGAATTTTTAATCACCTGGAATTGAAAAACATATGGATTTTGTCAGATGATGCAGTAGTATATTTAATGTTTCATGCATGTCATCATAAGCTTTTCTCAAGCAAATATTTCAAGGTAGGAGCATAATTTGGCACATTATTGAACAAAGTAGTTTTTATTTTGGTTTTGATGTACTAACCTGTTTACTAGAACAAACAATTCATTTACAGAAACACCAGATGGCATTTATAAAACTTTTAGCATAAAGCAAACCTTTACACATCATCATTATGATTGTCCATAATCTATCAAATTGTCCAGGATAGCTGTTTAAGAAAGGTATTTTTTATTGTACGACATGTACCAAAGAGTTCATTAATTAATCCTGCACTGCATTTGATTTTAATACAGCTCTGTTC